AAGTAATTTTCAAATTACTTTCATGGATATTACATGTTGATGTAGGAAATGTCAACTGGCTCAGTACTGGGAAGACAGGTCTAAGTAAAACAATCTAAAAGGAAGTTTGGAGTAGCACTGGACAGGGAAAGAAGGTAGGTAAGAGAATAGCAATTTTTTTTTTTTCAAAAAGAAAAGCTATGAAATACCTCAGGTTTTTATTTGAGTCCATAATTTCAGTTCAATTAAAAATGATTCAGCAGGTAGTTTGATATTCAGAGTTTAAAATTTTTCATTTCACTTCAAATGAACACAGGAGAATTATAAACTCAAATTTAGAATACTGAGTATCTTAGGTAAATAGTATACAGAAGGCTTCAACTGCGTTGGGTGATGTTTTTTCTCTTAAAATGAGGGTTGGGTTCACAGAAGTTTATTATAGTATTCTTGACACTTTCATAATCTGGAATATTTCATAATTAAAACAGTTCAGTAGAAATATATTCAGATTCTATGTTAAGCATAGTAGTGTAATTCCATTTCTTGACTTGTTTAAGCCATTAATAATCAACTAATCATTATGAAAGTGGCTCAGCCTGTAGCTCTGAAGTTCTGTATAGTTCTAAGTTTAGCAGATAGGCCAAGTTTATCACTATGTTCACTCTAACTGTATAATTATATTGATAAAAATAAATTCTCAATTATAAGAACTATAGTATACTGCATTAATGTAGAATGAACTCTTCTTATGACAGGAATTTTTTTTTTTTAATGTTTTTATTTATTTCTAGGAGAGAGAGAGAGACAGCGTGAGCAGGGGAGGGTCAGAGAGAGAGGGAGTCACAGACTGANATTTCTAGGAGAGAGAGAGAGACAGCGTGAGCAGGGGAGGGTCAGAGAGAGAGGGAGTCACAGACTGAAACAGGCTCCAGGCTCTGAGCTGGCAGTCAGCACAGAGCCCGACGCGGGGCTCGAACCCACGAACGGCGAGATCATGACCCAAGCGAAAGTCGGACGCTCAACCGACTAAGCCACCCAGGCGCCCCATGACAGGAATTTTAATACTATTTAAATCTCTGATTTTCCAAATATGAATTTAAAAATTTCTATTGACAACACTTTTTGAAAAATGTTGAAATTCTGGTGGGACAAAAAAGCTGTTGAGCATATCATCAAGAAGATAAGCATTCATTCATGTTACAATTTCTTAAATGGGAACAGAAAAGCCAGATGACTTAATTGGCATTGCTGAGAAAAATACCAGTATACCACCTAATACATGAAAAGCTGATACAGTGATTCTGCTTTGAAACATGTCCCTCCTATGAATTATCAAATCTATGTTTCTGTTATGGCACTTAACATATGGGAGTAACAAAAAGATTTACCCTTTTCCTCACCTGCCAAAAATATACATATTCTCCACACACTTGAAAATTGAGAACGTTTGGGTCTGGCAATTTCTCAAAAAATTAAACAGATTTACCATACGATCCAGCACTTCCAATTCTGGATATATACCCAAAAGAAGTGACAGCAGGGATTTGAAAAGATATATTTGTACAACCTATGTCTATAGGAGCATTATTCACTATAGTTAGAAGTTGAAAAGAACCGAAATGTCCATTGACAGATGAATGGATAAACAAAATGGTATATACAAACAATAGAATATTAGTCTACTTTAAAAGAAACCCTGACACATGCTACATAATTGGGTGAACCTTGACATTAATACTAATAAGTGAAATAAGCCAGTCACAAAAGGACAAATATTGTGTGATCCCCACTTATATAAGGTACTTGGAATAGTCAAAGAGAAAGAACAGTGGTTTCCAGGGGCTGGCAAGAGGGAAAATGGAGAATTGGTGTTTAATGGGTACAATTTCAATTGGGGAAGATGAAGAAGTTTTGTAGATGGATGGTAAAGATGGTTGCACAACAATGTGACTATACTTAATGCTGTTGAATTGTACACCTAAAAATGATTAAAATGGTAAATTTTGTTGCACGTATTTCACCACAATAAAATAAATCATCTGAGTAAATTTGTAAAATAAGTATAATGGCTGAGCAACTAAAGTAAAAAGCAAATATCTTCCAAGGATGAGACCTGATTGACAGTATTACCATTAATGAAAGAATGTTCTACATCAAAGAGATTTGTCAACAAAAAACTCTAGAGGAGGAAAGCAAATGACTGTATTTTTAGCATAATCCAACCCTTGAAGCATGTAAGACAGGTGATTCAAATGGAAACAGATGCATTGGGCCTGAAACATTAGCCATTAAAAGCACTAAACTCATTTTTATTGTTTTCATTCCATATTTACCAATCTTCTGATTATAATTTGGATCTGGCTTTCATCATAATTTGCCCAATACAGAGAAGGTGAGGACCAGCAAGCTTAGGTATCCTAGCTCCTTCATCATTACATTTCTCATAAATTAACATGTTAGTATTACGGTTTTTACAAAGCAATTTCTTAGCAGATTTACCCTGTGACTCAGCACCCCAGAGTCCAGTCACATCCATTTCTGATAAACCAATTTCAAGCCTAGAAGAGAAGGAGATGTTGAAACGCAGTCCTCACACCAAGGTCCTGCTAGTCTGTGGATACAACTGTGGCAATCTACCCCACCTTCTCCAAGCAACTTCCCACTCTCAATGCACACTTTCCATAATGCCATATTGTAATTACCTATCGTTAGACTCAGTTCCTTGAAGATAGGGAGTGAATCTTATCTTTTGTCCCTAACAACTAATAAAGTTCCCAGCTCAAAGGAAAGAACCCGATAAATATGTGGTAAATCAAAGTAAAATCCGGGGCGCCTGGGTGGCTTAGTCGGTTAAGCGTCCGACTTTCCCTTAGGTCATGATCTCGCGGTTCGTGGGTTCGAGCCCCGCGTCGGGCTCTGTGCTGACTGCCAGCTCAGAGCCTGGAGCCTGTTTCAGTCTGTGACTCCCTCTCTCTCTGACCCTCCCCTGCTCACTCTGTCTCCTAGAAAAAAAAAAAAAAAGTAAAATCCAATTTAGTAATACATAATTAGGAAATGAATATTGTAAAGATTCTGTTTGTAATTTTCCTCTAACACTTACAAATGAAAACCTAGGCAATAGCACAGACAAAATAGCATGTTTCGATTCAGTTGGAACTCTGAATTCAAGTGGAAGTTACAGTAGTTAGGCCATATTTCGTTGAGAATGTCCACCAGTGGCATTCAAACTATGATGTGATCTGTATGAAAGCTCTGACCTCAACATAGATACCTTTCCACCAATAATTTCTCCTCTAATACAATAAAGAAGATGGAAAATGTATACCTTCACTTGCCAATGTATTAGTATAAGTGGCTTTTCTTTCTGCTATTCATATGCAATCAGTGGAAGACTACAATTCATTCTTAATGTGTCTTAGAGCTCTGCTGTTTCACATAATGGAGCATTAAGACTCAATACCAGTCAAAGCTGCTAGATGAGGAATCTACCAGTGATTCTAGCACATACAAAAGGGATAACTCCTGACACATCGTGCACAGGAGACCATTGAGACACACTTGCTGAACATAATTCAAATTGCAAAAAAATGCCAGATGTGAAAGTTTTTATGTTCAGACTAGATTTCAGCGTATAAAGTAACCTCTAACCAATCATTTGCGATTAGGATAACCAATTTTTCTTCACCTTTTGGCCTTCTCTTTTTTCCTTTTTGTGGGTCAGGCACATATCCTAGTGGAAGTATGAAGTAATTTTTTCTTCTAGAAATTAAGGAAACTGATTCCAGAACCATATGGCCTAACGTTTTATAGCTTTGCATTTACTAGCTATGTGACCTGCAAATCATCAAACTCTGTGGTCCAGTTGCCTCATCTATAAAATAAGGACAGTAGCTACCTCACCAATTTGGAGTGAGGATTAAATAAATTAATCTGCAACACTGCCTGGTACAACGCAAGTGCCACTTTATTGTTAATTACAGTTACTATTATCATAAGTGAAATTTTTGAAAGCATCAGTTCCACCTAAAAAACTCTCAATAACATTCTGTTGATTATGAATATGTATATTTGTGTCTTATTACTAGACTCTTAACTGTGTCTTCCCAAATGTGATTCACTTATCTTTTATACCAAGAGCTTCTTGCCGTTCAAAATACAGATCTATGTGACAGCCTATCGAACCTTGCATATATGAAGTCCTTGCTTATTAAGTTTAGTAAACCTTAAAGTCTAGCAGGGAAGAAGAGAGCCTTTTGGGACAAATCTATTCACACAAATGACAAGTTCACATACCAATAAAAGGAAAAACTAAAAAGCCTGAAAGAGGTCCATGAATATGAGTATATATTACCCTGAAGGCTGCATACATAGTAAGCAAAAACCATATAATGCATTGCAAAAATAGGATTATTTTTTAATGCTAAGTGAATATGTACCATCTCCACCTCCCCCTTTTTAATCACAAAAACGGGCTAGCCCCACACCTTTTACTCCAAAAAGTGGGAGTAACGATTCAGACCGTCCGATCAGAAGCGCTTCCGTTACCTCGGAACCCAGCACAATCAAATCCTTGGTGTCGTCCCAACTTTCCACTCTCTGCTGCTGAAAGTATTAGCTAGGTCAGGCCACAACCTTTATAGTTGGTGATAGTTGCTCTAAAATGGAACGACGAATAATCTCTATCCGTTTCTCACAGTGCCGTCCAAATTCCAGCCAAAGGCAAACAAAATTGTCTTTTAATGTAGCGTAGTGTTTAGAACTTAAAACTGTAGTCAGCCAAATCTGCGTTCGGCCTCCGCTAGATCAGTCATTAGTCGCGATCTTGTAAAAGTCTTGTTACTATGTTACCACAAATCTAAGGGAAGCGCGTGAGTACACGCAATGAATCTTGGACCAAGACAGCGTTTATTTATTTATTTTTTAAACTGAATTAAGAAAAACACCCTCTAGGGCTGTAGCAGCTAGTCCTGCAGACGAGACGCTGGCACCGTGTTGATGACGTCACTTCCGGGCGACAAGGTCGGCCTCTCCCTGCTGCGACTTTGTTAGGGAAAGGACGTTACTGCTAGCTTCTGTCGCTCATAAAGAAGGTTTGTGAAATTGCTCACCCCTCTCTCAGTGGTTCTATCGCGTGCCTGGAAGAAGGATTCCAGTACAAGCCCTTCGCCTTCCTACAACAGAGATTTGCACTGGTCAAGTCCCCTGGATTCACTTGAGAAGTCTTCTTGGCCCAAAAGACAAATGATTAGCACAGGCAGCCTTGCATGGGTTTTGTGACTGCAACCCTAATTTTTCCAGGTGCGTTTGTCTGTGCTACACTCCGCACAACTTTCTTCTGCGAGGTGGTTCATCACTCTAATCCCTGGATGCTGTTTGCCCCAGTGGCTCAATAACAATTCCAATATTTATTCTCTCATTTACCCATTTTGTCCATTAGTGTGTAGGGAAAGGACCTACATAAGCATCCAGAAAGTTCTAGGACAGGTGATTTGGGGGCATGAAACTAGATACTTGAAAGTGTGAAGATACCAGGATGCTTTGGTGGCGGACTGCTTTTATTTGAGGGGGGAAAAGGATTTGGGAGATCCTTATTACGATAAGCTTGTGGTAAAATGGAGATTGAGTTAGAAAAATTGAAATTAATGAATAAAATGGGTATTAGGTTGCCGTTGTTTTAGACAAGATGTGGTTCTTTTAAGATGAGGTTCATAAGAACACTTTTCCAAAGTAGATGACTAAATTGTGTCTTTATGTGAATTCTTGTTTTCAAACTAAATTATCAAATTTTATTTTGAAAGATATTTTCAGGAAATAGAATGCATTTATTTTTATCTGTTCTGTCTTGCCTTTATTATTTGATTTTTAAAAACCAATTCTGTCTTAGTTATTATAGCTATCAAACAATAAATAGCACTTTTCAGACGACTGTCCTTGTGACTATTAGCTATTTTATAAAGAATAATGAATAGTTTGCTAAGAACAGCATGATAGTAATACTAAAAAGTTTTATATCTGGTTGTCCTGTTTTTCTCTTAAAGAACACTATATTCATTCCTACCGTTAAATATAGTAGTGGGTTGCTACAGCCTTTAAAAATTTTTGCTAACGTCTGCAAAACTTTCCTATAATTTTACAAAACTATCATATTGAAAAATTAATCAAGTTTTCAGAATTTTGCTTACCTAAATAGGTTAGTGGTTAATGTCAGTTCCCAATAATTTGTTTTTCATTTATTTTCTAGAAATTATCTGTAGAGTAAGTATGCTAATATTGAATAAAACAGCAGGAGTTTTTTCTAAGCCATCAAGAAGGAAAACTTATGAATGTTTAAGAAGTTTTAATTTTCATCCGGAAAAACTATTTCCTCATAAACTAGTATTGGGAATTGAAACCAGTTGTGATGATACAGCAGCTGCTGTTGTGGATGAAACTGGAAACGTTTTGGGAGAAGCAATACATTCCCAAACTGAAGTCCATTTAAAGTAAGTAGACATTATCTTGGGAGTTCCCAATTTGGGGGAGAAAAAGTAAAATGAAATAATTCTTTTCTATTTATCATATATAAAATCTGAGTTTTAAGAGCTAAGTTCTTCTTTTGTGCGAAAGCTTCTAATAACTGCTGTAGAAAACCTGAAGCCCTTCAACCTGGTTTTTAAGGCTCTCCACAGTAAAGTCCCACCTTTAATCCTGTTGTCAAAAAGAGCTAAACTCATTCCCAACTCCAGTATTTATCCATGATTTCTCCTCAGTAATTTCTCTAATTTTGCCCACCTGTATGTTTCATGGTCTCAACTGAAATCCTAGGAGAATATGACCCTATCTCTAACCTGTGTTGATTACTGGAAAAAAAAAATCCTATTCACATTTATACATATAACTCCTGTTGGTACTTAAATAAATAATATACTGTTGTATTAAAGCACAGAATGGCTCAAAGTTTATAAACTCATCTGTTTGCAGAGGACCACTAGTCTGGTTATATAGATAAGTGGGCTGTATATAAAGTGGAAGATATCTACTCAGCTCCAGCTGATTGTTGCCATGCAGAAATGTAGGCCCTGTGTTATTTGATCATCAGCATTTTCTAGAGAAAATGGAAATCCAGAATGTAACTGTAATATCTCCAGATTTTTACAATTAGTAGCTAACTTGAAATATATTAAAATACTGAACAGATCAAATATGCCTTCAAGCCATCAATTTATAACATCTGCATAGTGAAAAAGTTTGGTAATTTGAGATCACAGACCTGTATTTGAATTATCAATTAGGCCCTTGGTATTGGCTCTGATTTTAGGCAAGTTCCTATCCTGTCTGATTATGTTTTCACATCTGTAAAATTGGAAAGATAATACCTGCCTTACAGGATTGTGGGAGCATAATAGAAAATATATATGTGAAGAGACAGAATAGGCCTCTAACAGTTACATACTATGTAAAAGTGACTGCGTTGGGTATTAATAAGGCATAGTAGTAAAGTACTAGAAAGTCCTTGCCTTCAAGGAGCCTAACCTAATCTCTGAGACATCATATATAAATGTAAAAGGAAACATACAACATACAGTACAAGACAGCATGAAGTAAGTATGAAACCAGTGCAAACAATACGTGTTACTACCAGGCCTTAGTTCCATGGTTCTTTCAGTATTTCTGAGAGTTCTGAACATTTGTGCGTTTAAATGTTAACTGTACAGAAAGGCCTTTCCTAACTACTTTATCTAAAATAGGTACTCCCACCATGTTTATTCTATATCACCACACCGTGCTTATTTTTTTCATTATCCTTTTGATAATTTTTGCATTTGTTTACTTATGTGTACTCTTTCCCCTAATAGACTGTAAGCTCTGTGGTGACAGGGGCTGTGTCTGTATTAATCGGTATACTGTGCCTTAATATCCAGAGTAGCATCTAATATGTTGCAGATGTTAGTGGCTTTGAAAATTAGGCCTTCAGTGATTGGAGATGAAAAAAATATTCTCGTGTGAGTAAGCATCATAGCAAAGGCAAAGAGGTGAGAAAATACTGGACATTCAATTTAGTTAGTGCATAGGTCACTTTGGAGGAATACACAGGCAAGCCAACTGTGTGGTACCATCTATGCAGCTCATCTCCGCATTTATTGAAATCCTACAATTGCCTGGCTACATTTGGCTCCAGCTTAGCGGTCAAATGGTTCTCCTGCCTCTTTAATAGCTATTTGAGCCCTCAATCACCTACTCTCCATACTATGTACAAATTAATTCTTTTGAGAATAAAGCCATGATCTTATTCATCTATTTTGTCTCTGGTGCTTAGCTAGCATAATCCTTTGAAGGTGAAATATATAGAAGATGCACAGAAAGGAAGGGAGGTAGGCAAGTGGGAGAAGGAAGAAATAAGTGGGAGGGCTAGGATTCACACTTAAAGTCACCTCAATTTCAAGAAAGTAAACGCTTTTCAGTAGAAGAGTTATGGGGTCAGCATTGTGCTTTACTTTCTGGCAATACAATATAGAATAGACCCCAAGGATCAGAAAATCTGCCTGGGGAACTGCAGTTAGAAGACTTTGAATAGACTGAGAGATGAGAGGTTTTTGAACTTGAGAATGGTGATGCACATAATGTGGACAGCAAGATAAAGGAGATAAGGATGAAACTTCAAACCCAAGTGATTAGAACATTTGATGCCATTAACAGAGTTGAAGAATATAAGAGGAAAAAGTAGGTTTGAAGAACCAAGAAAAATATGGAGCATCTGGATTTTAGTCAGTTAAGCATATGACTCTTGATTTTCGCTCAGATTATGATCTCATAGTTTGTGAGTTTGAGCCGCGTTCCGGCTCTGCACTGACAGCACAGAGTTTGCTTGGGATTCTCTCTCTTCCTCTCTCTATGCCTCTTTCTCTCTCTCAAAATAAATAAACTTAAAAACAAACACACTAAAAACAACAGCAAAAAAAAATTAAGAAAAACAGTATTACTGTGTGGATGTGTTGAAATAAGATTGTTTCTTTTATTGTTTCCCTCATTACCTGATACAGTACATAGTATAACTATTAAATATTAATTGAATGTTTTTACTGAGGATTTTCATTTCTTTTTTTTTTTAGTTTATTTGTTTTAAGAGAAAGTGTGCATGTACAAGAGAGAGTGGGGGAGGGGCAGAGAGAGAATCCCAAGCAAGTTCCATGCTGTCAGCACAGAGCCCAATTCGGGGTTTGATCCCATGAACCATGAGATCATGACCTGAGCCAAAACCAAGAGCCAGATCCTTAATCAACTGAGCCACCCAGGCACCCTAGGATTTTCACTTCTATGTCTAGAACGAGCAGCACCAAATATTCAAAGATGTTTTTGAGATTAGAGATGTATTTTGTAGACCCTATAGTTTTTTACTCTGCTTCTCTGATTGGAAGTCAGTGACATGCTGGCAAACTTTTTCTAGCAACTTTGTCTCCTACTGATTTACTCTTGGCATTTGGAGTGGTCATCCACTGTTTGTCCTACATAAACCAAAAATCAAAACGATAATCTCTAAGCACTAGATTCCCAAACTATATTTCAGGATTGCAGGCTGTCTGCTATCCTGCCATGACCTCAGTCAAGTGCGGTGTGTTTAAAAATAAACTCATCTTCTTCACAAAACTGTCTTCATGTTTCTCTCTGTTAGTCTTTCTCTTCTCCCAGTCATTCCAGCTCAATATCTGAATCATCTTGGATGCCTTGGTCTCCTTTCCTCTTATATCCAGTCTAACTTAACAGTTTTCAAGGCTCTCCTCCCCATTCTTTCACTTCTCATGAACACATAGTTTAAAATGTAATCATCTTACACAAATACTTTTATAATAACCTCTTTAAAAAAATCTCCCTTTCTCCAGGGAGATTAATTTTTCTAAAATCCAATTTCATCCTGTCCTTTTCTTGTTCAAGACATCTTCAAGAGAATGCTTCTTAAAATTATTTTGGTGATTCCATTATATTAACAAACCCATAGGAATTCATTGTGTACAATTTTGAAGAGTCGGAGACATTACACCCTTAATCACTGCATGTTGAGTTCTTATATTGTGCTGCATTATAAGGCACACATATTTGAATGTGTGACTACCATTTTTAGCTATATAATGATTAATTTGAAAGCATGCCTTCAGCCCTAATATAAAACTTTTTCTTAGTCTGTTTTCTCAATCTTAAAATTATAAGAAGCTTTTTTTTTCCCCCCAGAACAGGTGGGATTGTTCCTCCAGTAGCTCAACAGCTTCATAGAGAAAATATTCAACGAATAGTGCAAGAAGCTCTCTCTACCAGTAAAGTGTCTCCAAGTGAACTCTCAGCAATTGCAACTACCGTCAAACCAGGACTTGCTTTAAGCTTAGGAGTAGGCTTATCATTTAGCTTACAACTGGTAAACCAGTTAAAAAAACCCTTTATTCCCATTCATCATATGGAGGCTCATGCACTTACTATTAGGTTGTTAAATAAAGTAGAATTTCCCTTTTTAGTTCTTTTGATTTCTGGAGGTCATTGTCTATTGGCATTAGTTAGAGGAGTTTCAGATTTTCTGCTTCTGGGAAAGTCTTTGGACATAGCACCAGGTGACATGCTTGACAAGGTAATTATTAAAGAATTAACTTCTCTTTTCTGTTAAGGTGTCTGTTTCAATCAAATAGTAGGAGATGCACTACTACCATTTATCTAAATATTTCCGATTAACATATTAGACTGAAAAAAATATGTGCAGTAAGAAAAAAGAAAATAGTACATAGCTTTATAAAAGATTCTTATCCATTATCAATAAAATGGTAAGAGGTTTAGATTAGTACATAAAGGCTCAAATAGTTTTCAGATGCAGTTTTTAATTTTTAAAAATGTGAAATTGCCATTTACAGTACTATAAAAATATGAAATAAGATATATAACAATAACATAAAGACATTAAAGATGCACAGAGTTTTGTGATTAAACATCACAATTGTTGACACTACCACCAACCAGGTTTCTTTTTTCTTTGTTTCTGAATTTTTCAGAGCTTACTGCTATATGCAAAAATCCTGCTGACAACAGCAGAAATGATTAGAAGAAATGGACAGATTTTAATTTTTGAAGTTTATCATTAAGCAGTCATGAACTTCAAACCTGTTTTTCATCCCCAATAGAAGAGCAGTAGATAGGGAAGCAGTGATTGGCCACTATTGATAAGGTTGTCAGAAGGAGCAAGAGTCTGTCTTTACTGACTTGCTAGCTATAGTCCATGTTTGTACAAGTATAGCATGTCTTATTCATCCAGTTTTGTTTTGTTTTAGTAAATTTCATTTCCTTTGCACCTGGGTTCCAAAATGTGCAATTTTATGACTCATTACAAAATCTTTGTTTGTTTTTAAAAGGTAGCAAGAAGACTTTCTTTGGTAAAACATCCGGAGTGCTCCACCATGAGTGGTGGGAAGGCTATAGAACATTTGGCCAAACAAGGAAATACACTACACTTTGATCTCAAACCTCCCATGCAACGAGCTAAAAATTGTGATTTTTCTTTTACTGGACTTCAGCATGTTATTGATAAGATAATAACACAAAAGGAAAAAGAGGAAGGTATATTTTTAATTAGTAGAGTTGGAAAAATAAGTAATCCTGGATTGTGCCTAAAAATACTGGTTCATTTCTGCAGGAATCCAGAAGGGGCAAATCCTGTCTTCGGCTGCACACATTGCTGCTGCAGTACAGCACACAACAGCATGCCACATTGCAAAAAGAACACATCGTGCCATTCTGTTTTGCAAGCAGAGAGATTTGTTATCTCAAAGTAATCCAGTGCTGGTAAGTTTCCTTTTCTCCTCTAACAATAATTGTAACCCTTTGCAGTATGTTATTTTTCTTCTAGGAGCTTAATTGATCCAGTGCTTAGACTATGATATCTTAATGTCCTGTGCTAGCCCTGACAGAATGAAATTATGCAGAATAAAAACTAACAGCCGTTTCTTGTACAGATATGACACATCTGTATAGACTGTGTGCCCAAAAAACTCCAAAGCTGCCTCTTCTCATTGAATTTAAAAGTGGGTTTGCAATAAGAAATGAAGTGCAGTAACTGTTATTATTTTAGAAAAATAAGCTAGTTTCCTTCAAATTTATGTTCCTTTGATGAAATCCCTGTAAATCTGCATAAAAGCCTTGGTAAACTTCCTGTTTAACTATATCTTAAACTTTGTCCTTTTAAAAGTTATAAAATGACAAAATATTTAAATGAGGGTAGATTAACAAATGAGAATATTATGTGACTATCAGAGATAATAGGTTTTTAAGAATAATATAAAATGAAAAAATTGCTTATAAGTAAAAACAACAGGCTCTAACATATTGTTGTACTATGATTGTTATTTACAAAATGTTAGAAGAAAATGTATAAAAATAATAGTGGCCAGTATATGCTGATATTGAAATTGTCAATTTTGTTTTCCTCCAAATTTTTATCATATAGCTATATTATTTGTCTGCTCCCCACCTATCAAAGTATGATATTTTCTTATTGTATAATGCTTGTATTTTCCCCAGGTTTAGCTAACAGTTTGGCTCATAGCCATATGTAGTATTGGTTGATTTGGATCTTCTCAATTCCTTCAGGTTGTATCTGGAGGCGTTGCAAGTAACCTATATATCCGAAAAGCTCTGGAAATTGTAACAAATGCAACACAATGCACTTTGTTGTGTCCTCCTCCCAGACTGTGCACGGACAATGGCATTATGATTGCATGGTAAGCCACGGGATATATGTGCTTCACTCATAAGTATGTAAATATTATTGCCATTTCATCGTGTTAAGTCTTCTTCCTTTAAATCTTGGTCTATTTATTTTATTTTAATAATTTTTATTTAGGAATGGTATTGAAAGATTGCGTGCTGGCTTGGGCATTTTACACAACCCAGAAGGTGTCCGCTATGAACCAAAGTATGTAGTACCTTTTATAATGTCTATGCAAGTTACTATAAAATTCAGAGCCTAAATTTGCTTTTATATATGAGGTTTTCATCAGTATTCTGGTGGTACCTGAAGAAACATTACATTAATTTTTTCATGAAATTTCTTATAATGTATTTTTTCAATTTTATTTATTTATTTTTTTATTTCTAGGAGAGAGAGAGAGAGAGACAGCATGAGCAGGGGAGGGTCAGAGAGAGAGGGAGATACAGACTCTGAAATAGGCTCCAGGCTCTGAGGGGGCAGTCAGCACAGAGCCTGATGCGGGGCTCGAACCCACGAACCGCGAGATCATGACCTAAGCAAAAGTCGGACGCTTAACCGACTAAGCCACCCAGGCGCCCCTTCATGAAATTTCTTAATAAGAAATATTTTTGCTACAATATCAAATCATAAACATTTTGACAAATCGTAGGTTAGAAATAGGTGGGTAGGGGTGATAAATTCCCTCATTTAGTAGCAGAATGGAAACCATGTCCACGGCCTGGACTTTTGCAATGTGAAGGCAATCTCAGGACCAGCGGGTATGCTGGGAATCTTCAGAAAAATGTGTAAAGAATAGTCAGATCTGAGACTGGGTTGTGAGTATGCTCCTCCACAGGCGCTGTAAAATGGCTAAGAGATAGCTATTTCCTGAAAGCCTTATTTCCTCTCCCAAATCAGAGTTCCAAAGAATAGGACAGTGTTTCAATTTGTTATTAAGTTCGGGTCTAAGTTATTTCTGGAATAGTAAAATAGTAAAGGACGATTATGTTTCATAATCTACTGTAATTCCATTCTCAACAGGATTTCATTTGATTTTTTAAAACTTTTCAGCATTGTAGTCCATTACTATAGCTACATGAACCACAGACTATTAAGACTATAAATGAACAGAGTTTAATTTGTTGTGGCAGAAGGAATCTCCTATGTTGCTGGCCTACCTTCAGGTAAAATATATTGTCTGAGCCAGTGTTACCTTCTTATGGCAGTGTTGAAGCTGGCGATGATGACTTTTTTCAGATTAGGGTTCAGTTGAAGCCTTACATTGGGTAACGTTGTAAAAAAGCAGAAATCTGAGGCCGAAATTATTTACTGAGGAAGAACAGAGAAAGAGAGTAGGATCTAAGACCTCTCCTGCCAGTAGTGATAGAGGATGGTGGAAAAAGGAACAAGTCAGCTTTTGAAACCTCAGAGAGGAATCAGAAACCTGGAGAATTTCTAAAGTAGAATGGATGTAGATTTGACTCTAGTTATATGGTAAATTGTTTTTACCCTTTCAGCTTTGTTGAGAATTATACGGCATGTTTGTTGTTTATTTGTTTCAAGTTTTTATTTATTTATAGTATGAGAGTGGAACTATTTCTTTCAAAAACTTCTCAATCCTCAAACTCACTGAGTTGTGTACATGAAAGATGCATAGCTTTTCACATGTCAACTATACCTCAAAATGGTTTAAAAAGTTCCAAACTTTAGAGTTCTTATTAAGAGAATTGGCCTGGGGCGCCTGGGTGGCTTAGTCGGTTAAGCGTCCGACTTTCACTTAGGTCATGATCTCGCGGTTCGTGGGTTCGAGCCCCGCGTCGGGCTCTGTGCTGACTGCCAGCTCAGAGCCTGGAGCCTGTTTCAGTCTGTGACTCCCTCTCTCTCTGACCCTCCCCTGCTCACGCTGTCTCTCTCTCTCTCTCCTAGAAATAAATAAAAAACATTAAAAAGAATTTTAAAAAAAAAAAAAAAAAAAAAAAAGAATTGGCCTTTTCTTCACCCATTATTCCTGCTGTATTTGTATTCAAGAACCATGATCACATATGGTTAATTGTACATTAGATATGTATACTGTTTGTCAGAATTCTAAGCAAATAGTCTGGTAAGCCAGTGACAGACCAGGATGCAAATATTTGAAATAATGTAACTTATCTGATGTGATGCAGATGTCCTCTTGGAGTAGATATATCAAAAGAAGTTGGAGAAGCTGCCATAAAAGTACCACGGTTAAAAATGAAGATTTGATTTTTGCTTCTCAGACAATCCCTAAAGGTAGTATTTCAACATTAGTTGTGATTTTTTTTTTTTGTATATCAAATTGTGGAAGATACATAATATTAATCGTTCATCAAGACTTTCTTCTGTTATTCTTTTTCTTGTGTTTGATGTTTAACCTGCTCTTCTGAGAAACAAAGGATATAGTCTTACAAGGGAGTATAGATTTTTTTTATTACCAAAAGTAAAATAAAACATCTTGTGGGGAAAAGAATGTCCTCATATTGGCAGGTAGAAAGAAAACCTTGGATAATATTCAATAATGCGATTAAATTCTAATCCCATATTATACAAGCCTAGATCTTTCTATCTTTTTCTTATAACAAGATAGTAAACACTATTTTTTAAAGATTATATTCTATTTATTTTATTAAATGTATTTATTTATTTAAGAGCACACATGTGAGTTGGGGAGGGGGAGAGAGAGAGAAAGAATCTTAACCAGGCTCCATATTCAGTGCAGAGCCCGAGATGGGGCTCAATCCCACAACCCTGGGATCATGACCTGAGCCGAAGTCAAGAGGTGAATGCTTAACCAACTGAGCCACCCAGGTGCCCCTAAATTAATTAATTAATTACTTTATTTATTTATAATTTAGTCACATGAATTTTATTTTTTCTTTAGTTTTATTTATTTTTGAGAGAGAGAAGGAGGGACAGAGAGAGAGGGAGATACAACAGAATCTGAAGCAGGCTCCAGGCTCTCTGCTGTCAGCACAGAGCCCAACATGGAGCGAGAACCCACGAGATGAGCCAAAGTCAGACACTTAACCAGACACCCCAAAATTTATTTATTTTTAAATGAAGTGTAGACATAAAATATTACGTTAATTTGAGGTGCACAACATAGTGATTCAGCATTAATATGTATTATGACACCATGATAAATACAGTTTTACCATCTGTACCATACAAAGTTATTACAGTGTTATTGACTATATTCCCTAGGCTGTATTTTTCATCCCTTGATAAATTTATCTTATAACTGGAAGTTTGTACCTCTTAATCACCTTCATTTATTTCACCCATTCCCTGTGTGGAAATTTCACATCCCACCCCACCCCTGCAAACAGGTAGTTACCAGTAGAAGCTATTTTTTTGGCTCCTGCTGAAACATTAGCCTAACTTTTCTAATGAGAGAGAAATTTTAGAAAGGTAGCCAGGTCAAAGTCATGTCAAATCAGAGAAATCTAATTGAAGACAAAAGGTGATTGTCTAACAGAATGCATGTTATTAATTATGAAAATATATACTAATTAGGTATATTCCCTGGAGCAATTGGAGTATCTACATTTCTTAAAATCCATCTGAGATTTTAAGAAATATGACACATAAGTAATCCCTCTAGTGTGTATTGTACTTTTTAGTTGACCACATATATTTATATCCATTATTTTAGAAGTTGTATTTAATCAATGAAAATATATAAAATGTAAAGGTTTTTGGTTTCATTTTAGGATAATTTCCTCTGATTTTGAATCCTTATACCAGTTTATCACTTTTTTTTTGCCTAGATTAAACTAACTGAATGTACTGTCCTTTGAATATAAAGACGATGCTACTGACTTTAATGTCCTTTGAGAGATTTTATCAGTAAAGAGTTATATCACATCATCCATACTGGACCAGGTTGTTTACTTTCTAGTCAATGACTTGCTCTGTTGAGAAACTAGAGGGTAAGGATAAAAATCGAGAATGAGAAGATTTTTTACTTTAATCCTGCCTTAAGGTGACCTCCTTTTTGGGAAATTCTATAAGTAATTCCTTTTTATTCTATTTTTTTAAGAATTATAATCATAGACTATTGCTTTTTGATCATCCTTTTGGGAATAAAAAATATAATTTATATGAGGGAACATATAGAAACAGGCAATATTTATAAAATTTTGCATTATTTGCTGTTGAAGTATAGCTATGATAAGATTAGTTTGTAAATATTATTTAGAAGAAGCTATTAGTTTGTGAGTTCACATTTTTTATTTAAATTTATATTCTGTATAATATGAATCTGAATTCACAGAAAAGTAGTAGAAGTATTTCCTATGGCTCTCACAACAGACTGCATATAAAGTATGGAAGGAAATTGACCAAAATTTCTTTCTGCTATCACAAATATTATAAAATGAGGATATCTATGATCTAGGTCCTTAAAATTTTTAAGTATCAAAACTTCTACAGGTGCTCCAACATAAGCCCACATGTTAACACTGAGTTCATGATATAAATTAGAGAAACTACAGATAAATAAAAAGCAATTTTTGGAAACACTCTGTATCTGTAGGCCTCTCAGTAAGTACTTGGCCAGAAGGAAGGAAGGAAGGGAAAGAAGGGAAAAGGTGAAAAGGAAAAGGAAGGGAAAAACACTGAACTCTATATGGGCAAGCATATGTACCAAAGTTAGCTAATAGTACAGGTAAAAGTCAGGCAATTCGCTGAAATCCTCTGTATCTTGAGGCTTTTCTCATACATAATTTTAAAAAAGAAAAAATGCAGAGTAATAAAAATAATCTTTACTGGAAGAGCTCTACTTCAGGAGAAATAATAAAAGTTTTAGGAGTAGTAGGATAGCCTTAGTAGGCCAAGATACTCAGAACATGTTTATAGATCTGAGTACAAAAAATTGATACTCAACCCTGAGTGTATTCTTAAAATAGTCCATCAGAAGCCAGTGTCTAAGTTCAAAGTTTGCATCTAAAAGGTTTTGTTTTGCTTTATATCTACAGAGGCTTAATATTTCCATTGATGTGAATTCTTATCCTTAACAGTGCTGAGTAAATGACACAATTTCTTATCATTTGAATTATTTATCCTTTTGTAGTACAGAATAAGCCATTTCCCCCAATTTATGTATTAATCCATCCACCAGAATTAGAATTGAATTTGAATATTAGAGAGATCTCTTTTTGTCCAGTGGTTGAAAGCATGGCCTTTAGATTCTGGTGCATGGAAAGCCTTATTGTTTGTGGTAAGGTAATGTGAGGGAAAATAACTGTTAGTTAATATATATGTTCAGTGTAGCCCAGGTAGACTGTATGGAGGCAAAGTGGGCAGAGAAAAATGAGGTCTTTAGAAGCCAGCTTCATTTTGTATCAACTCTACCTGATGCCATAAAACAGAAGCAGAAATACATTGATTGAAACTTGTACCCACTGGAAACGGTACTCTTTGGGCTCAGACATCATGTCATTCTAAGCTACAGTGTCACCCTTTCCAGCTGCAAACCAAAAATACTTTAAATGTGGAGAATGGTCAACACTGGGGGCCACATTTTTTTGGTTTTTTACATACTTTTGTACTTAGTGAGCAGTGATTTCATATTTTTTGAAGTGTTTTTTTTAATTAATTAATAATTAATTTTATAAAGAGAGGCATAAGTGCAAGTGGAAGGGGCAGAGGGAGAGAGAGAGAATCTTAGGTTCCATGCTCAGTGCAGAGCCCGATGCAGGGTTCGATCCCACAACTCTGGGATCATGACCTGAGCCAAAATCAAGAGTCGGATGGACGCTCAACTGACTGAGCCACTAGGTGCCCCAAAAGTCTTTTAAAAGTACACATTTCTGTATTTCAGGTTTTAAAAGCCTCATACATTTGTAGTATTTATCATTAAATATCTCAAGGTATTACAGGGAGTTTTAACATGTGGACTACTTTAAAATATGTTTTTTATTTATTTTTGAGAGAGAAAGACAGAATGTGAACAGGAGAGGGGCGGAGAGATAGTCACAAAATCTGAAGCAGGCTCCAGGCTCTAACCTGTTAGCATAGAGCCCAGTGTGGGGCTTGAACCCACAAACTGCGAGATCATGACCTGAGCTGAAGTCGGACACTTAACTGAGTCACCCACCCAGGTACATCAGGCTGTTTTTTATTCAGGTCTTTTTTGCCCAGCATACCAATTTAAAAATGTTTCTAATACTTGATACAGATATACTAATTATGCCACTTGTGTCGATTATTATATTTTAATAGTTTTAAGTGCAGGAAATTTTTAATTTTTTTTGAAACTATGATTCTAACTGATTTGTTAAACTTCAGTAGACAGTCTAAGGAAAATCTGTTAAGTTTCAATATCAAGATCTTTTTTTAAAATTATTTATTTTTGAGAGAGTTTTGGGGAGAGGGGCAAAGAAAGACGGAGATACAGAATCCAAAGCAGCTCCAGTCTCTGAGATGTCAGCACAAAGCCCAATGCAGGGCTCGAACTCACAGACTGTCAGATCATGACCTGAGCCAAAGTTGGATGCTTAATCAAGTGAGCCACCCAGGCACCCCAATATCAAGAATTTCTATTCAAAATGTTTACTCAGTTATGTTTTATGTATTTTACCACAATTAGATTGAAATTAAAGGTAAAATATTTGGGGGCATCTGGCTGGCTCGGTCAGTAGAGCATGTGACTTTTGATCTCATGGTTGTGAGTCTGAGCCCCATGTTGGATATAGAGATTACTTAAAGTCTTAAAAAAAAAAAAAAGTAAAAACTTTAAAAAGATTGCTCAGGAATTCTTTTGTAGTTTCATTCTAATGCTTTTATTAGCCTTCTGCAGGCTCTGGATTGGCTTTCTGTACATGTTTCCCAAGTTGGCTCAAAACCACTATTCTTGGTCTTGATACTTCTATGATATCTGATGAAGTTGCAGATGAAAACGAAAAAACATTGTGAGAAACCGTGGTCTTTTTTGTTGTTTGGAAGAGTCCCATGAAATTAGCTACAGGAGGTATTAAAGTCAAAGAATCTCTTGGTTGAATTTTAGGTTTTAATTTTCTTCGGTGATCTTTCCCTAAAAATTAGAGAGGCACAATTAAATGTCTCTTTCTTAAGCCCAAGAGCCCTCTATACAGTCTCACTGCTTTTGGTTCTATATAGTTCTATTTTCTCCAAATCACTAAAACCTACTAAGAGAATAGATCAGTAACTTCCAGACTTGTAGATGTCAGAGTGCAAAAATTTGTGAGGGCCAATATATGGTGGCCAACTTGTTATTATTGCCAAGTTGAGACTAATAAAAGAACAAATGGCAATTCAATTTTGTAAAAGGGGTATTTTAACCCCCAAAAGGAAGTGTAAAAGGCACTGTCTCAAAATGATACATTTTATATTGAATGAAGTTAACTTTATCAGAAACTTGCTATATTGTCCTTATTTTTTTCATATGTTAACCATAAACCTGTGAAAACTTTATCAGACCACTATTGGTACACAGATTGCTATTTAGAAACCAGTATTAAAGTGAAGGAAAAAACTGAGATTGACTTTATTCCTTTTTGTAAATTAATCTTACACTAAAGAAGCTATACAAAAAATATTCTTCGACCCATGATATTCAGAAATATAGCCTCCCACACACTTCTAGCTTTCCTCAGATACTCCCTGCTAAGTTATGTTTTCTCTTCTCCTTTTATTGACTTTGTATTCTCTCCCTTTCCACTTGTCACTCCTACAAACTGATCGTGACTTTTGAATGGTTCTATCCTTGCTTTTGACTGTAGGATAATATACCAAGTCTGATACTGGTCCTATACTAAGCACACATGAACAAGCACTAAGCATATAAATGAAATAAAAAAGTAAATTTCTTTTCTGTATTTCGTGTCTAATGGTAATTACTTTATAAGTTCTGGACTCTGATCTTACAGGCGTAAGTCACTCAGACATCATCTGCCAAGTATATATAAAACTGTATATTATCAATAGAAAAAAATGTGATCTCTGCCATAGGAACTCACAAACAAGTAGTACATGAAACAAAACAATAGAAAGATTTTAATTTAAGCCATACTTACATGTTGTTTCAATAATGACCTATTTCTATGCATGGCTTATGAGAAAAAGCAGAGAGGGATTTATGTCAAGTCATATAGTAGGAAAGGCCTTAAAAGAAATGATTAACATGGTCTTGTAAATGGGAAGATATTTTAAGTATACAGAATAACAAAAGCAGAGGTTACAGCTAAACTTTTTTTGGGGGGGTGACCCTCTACAGTTTGAATTTTTGGAAATGGAACATACAATTGTAAAGTGTCAGGACTAGAAGGTACCTCAGAGATGAAAGAAAAATTTATTACCTTTCTTAAAGACCGGAATTATGGATGGTCCTCCATTTTTCTCTAGACTAAAAGGAAAACATGTTTATCACAAAAACTAGAAATATATAAAGACTTTAGTACACCCAGACAATAAGTTCCATACCTGGGGGTCTAATTTATATGTTACCTGTACTAACTATGCATGTTACCTGCAGGTATTTTATATTCAGTCACTCATTTACTTATCATTCGAACATTTGGAACATTAAACCTGCTTGAAGTGATCAACGAAAACTTCATGGGCAAAGAGATACTTCAGCTAGGTTTTGAAGAAAATAAGTCTTCAAATGAATGAGACAGAGGGAATAGGATATGAAAAATTATAGTACTATCAAACAGCATGGCATGTTCAGAGAATACTAAGTAATCTAGTGCAGTTGGAATTAAAGGTATCTAGAGGTATGTGATGGAAGATAAGTTGGAGAAAGGTCATTTTAGGTATTAAGAATACAACAAAATTTAAACTTTATTTTCAAAGCAGTGGTGCAGTGGTTTACCAATGAAGTGTTTCAAGCCAAACAAGGTGTACCTAGTTAATATAGGGTGTGTGTGTGTGTGTGTGTGTGTGTGTGTGTGTAGGGATTTAAAAGCAGTTATTTTAAATCATCATTCTGTATGTATAAAATAGTTACAGAATTTCCCTGGTAATAAAATTTAAGTATTGTGTAAAGTTAATATATTAAAGGTAGTTATCTCAGATATACAGCTGGCTAATTTGATGAGGAACATTTGCTGCTGTCCACCTTTCTAATCTGCTCTTCTTGGGGCTGGATGGGGGCATGGAATAGAGAAGTGGTATGTACACTAAAAAAAAATACTATCGTGATCCCAACCACAGTGTACTTTCCAGTAGTGGTATCAAGGAATATTTTGTGGAAATGTATTGTTATCACAAGGTTTCCAAACTGATTTTAATAATCTTTTAGCACATTTCCCATAGTTTCATTTAACCAAATCCCTTCACTGAATTGTTATGGAAATTAAAGGGAGTAGTCCATATAAATACTCTAAGGAGAGTTCTTAACACTGTTAGTTATGGGAGTAATATTTGCTTACCAGCTTATTTGCTTACCAGCTTCACCTCACCCGGTAATCATTCTTACAAATTTACTGACAACTGGTCACTGCTTACAATTCTAAAAGTTGGGTGCTCACTTCGGCAGTACATTTAGAATCCTAAAAGTTGGGTGTTCACAGCTCTAGGGCTGCCATTCACCCTTAGTCACTGTAGATTTGTATAGTTTTTACACCTGTTTCCCAGTAGATGACAGTAAAATGCCCAAGGAAGGGGCATCTTTTTCTAATTCCTAGAAAGTTGCTATATAGGCTAGTTGTGGGAGTGACTGTGTAAAATAATACTTTTCAATATTTATCCTAAATTGATTTTTGAGCCAGTAAATATTATTTTTAACACTGTCAGCTATAGCAATTTAATTTAAATTTCCCTGGCTTATTATATAAAATTAGGTACTCAGTTTTGGGTTTTCAGTTTTTCAAAGACTTAAAGTGAAGATGTACTGAACACTGGTATATAGAACCATGATGTTTTGTATCCTGTTCTCTTCTATTATCATAGAGTTAATACTGTATCTTGAAAAGTTCTGTTTCCTACACATAAATAGTCTAGTTGCAGAGAAGACTTGTAACGCAGCTACATCTACTAAAGAAAAGAAAATGTGCCCATTCTAAGGAGATTCTCCTCTCCCTTTTGCAGAAGCTTAAGCTATGATTAAACTACAACACTGAAGCAAAATCCTCTGAATAAATAAATGCCTGTCAGACTTTGTCATAACTCCAGTCACTGAGTCTGATTTAGCCGTTTCCATCCCGGGAGAGTGCCCTGACTTTGAATCAAGTTCCAAAGTCGCATTTGATGCCAAGGTCATGGTGGTGTTCCTGGTCAGCTCTGATCTCTCAAGTATATCCCCAAATTGGCCTCCTAGATCAGGCTTCGAGGCAGCCAGAATCCCAAAAAGCTTGCCTGAAATGTGAATAATCTTGGCCAAACAGGATCCCCAAGATCTGGTTGTGTTCATGCCTGCACAGGCAGTTCTGTTGCAAAATTAGAATGAAAGCACGCTTTGGCAGTAGACATTTAGAATGAAGTTTATGTCTTAGTAAACAAGGTATATATTCATATTAAGAATCCTTCCCCTTGTTTGAGCTTCCTTAAACTTTCTTACAAGTTCCTCTATCACTAATTTCACTACTGCAACTTCACAAATACAGGCACAATACCTTAATGTAGGAAGTCCAACTTGCTGTTGCATCTGAAATTCCTTTAGAAATGCTGGGTTAATACTTGCATCTCTGTTGATATTATTTGTTAATCGAAGGAACTGATTAGGCTTATTTCTACATTCTTTTAATAGGATGCGGAAAGCATTTGCGTTGTAAGTTAAGTAGCCAAGAGCACAGGAGCAAGCTGTGCGAACCTAAATGAAGAAACAGTTCCAACATTAAGCTTTGTTCCTAAAACATCTAACATGTGTTCTCCTTAAACATTTCATAAGAAAGTCTCTGTAGTTATGTATAACAAACATGTGTGTCGACCAATGGCAATCTATACATGGACACATAACAGCCATGTTTTCAGAAAGAGATGTCAACTGCCACTGATTACTAGTAGTTGTTCTCAGTCCTGACTGCATTTTAGAATCACCAGCAGTTAAAAACAACAAAAGCCCACCAACTGAATCATACTCTCTTGGGGGTAGAATCTGGGCATTTTTATTGTTTTTAAAAGTGCCACAGGTGATTCTAATATGCAGCCAGAGTAAGAACCATTGAGTTTGAAGTAGGACAGTGGGTCTCAGTCTTGATTGTGCATTGGAATCTCCTTGATAGTTATGAAAATTACTCATGCGTGGGTACCACTCCTAGAAGATCTGATTTAATTATTCTTGAGTGCAGCCTGGACACTGGAGTTGTTTGAAACAGCTCGGTTGATTGTAATAGGAAACCAGGTAAAAGACGATAAGATAAAGATAAGTTTAAAATAAGACACTTAGGAAAGCAATTCAATTTTCCGCCAGCAAAAAGAGTAAAAGTAGAAAAAGTAGATCTTTCCTTTTTAAAGGTCCCTCTGCCTGTGACCTTGAAGTAACTAAGTTACTCATGTGATTAATTAAAGTCTATTCCTGGGCGGTTCTTAGAAAATCTGTTACTGGTGGCCTAAGAACTGTCATAGAATGAACAAAAACCAGGCACATGCCAGGTACCAGATGGTTCATATACTGGTCTCTACATTGGCATCTGACTGCTTTATATGCCCATATATCTTCCATACCTTGAACGTGGTTCTCAGTGTATGGTCCCTACACCAGCAGCTTCAGCTTCTAGGAACTTGTTGGAAATGCACATTTTAGGGCCTACACCAGATATATTCAATCAGAAACTTTGGGAATGGAGCCCAGCAATCTATGGTGTAACAAGTCTTCTAGATTATTTCTATTGGAGAAATACTGCCTTAGACCTGGGTTGAGGGGAAGTGCAAGGGAATACTTAGAGGCAAACCACTATTACTGCCAGCCTGGCCTTCTTCCCACTGTCATCTCTAATCCTGCTTGGCAGATCAGGAAAACTCCAATGGAATCCACTTTCATGCATTCCAGATAATCATAGAAATGACTTAGTGAGATCACTGTTAGTAACTAACCAGTTTTGGTGAGACATTTTGTAAATATTTTAATTACCAATTTATATATCGTCAGTGTACTTATTTATAGATTGAATCTTATGTTATTGAAGTTGAGTGTGCACATTTTGTAGGAACAGAATTGTGGATGGCAGATACTGTACTAGAAAACTCATCTAATATTGTATTAGTAACATGAACTATTATAAAGCATACTTAACTTGTGGAGAAATTAGCCCACAAAAGTGAGAGGCAACTTACATTTTTAGAATATTCAATTATAGAATTATTTTTGTTTTTACCTCTTCTTTTCCTGAATACAAATGATAGCAGAGCCGTTGGATTGTTCCTAATGTGGTAAATGCTTCTGGAATACCAGCTCTAGAATGAGCCAGGCTAGCTATTAAGTTCCCTATAAATCAGGGGGGGAAAAGCTTATATTATTTAAGTGATATAAACTGATATACTGTACTTTTGTTCATTTGCATATATTGTTAAAAAGTGTTGAGTCACAAGACATCTCTGTTAATGAAGAAGAGCTGAGAAAACACATGTGTATATTAGAGGTAGAAATCTTTCCCCAAAATTGTAATTTGGTTTTCTGTCCCAAAGATTAAAAATTAATTAGCTTTATTTAGGAGTAGGGAATTTTGAAAATCAGAAGTTTTCATCACTGTTGCTTCAGAATATATTTTGTTTTAAGCTTTAGCATTTTTTAGTCTTTTTAAGTTTATGTATTTATTTTAAGAGACAGAGGGAGCACATGTGAGCATGGGAGGGACAGAATAAGAGAGGGAAAGAGAGAATCCCAAGCAGCTCCTTGCTGTCAGCGCAGAGCCTGATGCAGGGCTCAGTCTCATGAGCCATGAGATCATGACCTGAGCTGAAGGCTTAACCAACTGAACCACCCAGGCACCCTTGAGGTTTAGTATTTTTTTAATGACTATGAACATAATGATTGAACTACTATAAAAAAAAAAAAAAAAAAAAACAACGTGTGTCCTTTTTGTAGTTCTTAGGTTGTCCTTAAGTTCTTAAGTGTCCTTAAGTTGAGTTAAGAGCTTAATGGTATTTTAAAACCAAGCAGTGTATTACTTACTTAAATTTAAAATCATTGAAGTTTTGGCTAAAAAACAAAGTTTGGAGATTGAAAATAATAAGGTAATTAAGTAATTAAATAAATGTGCAACTACTAACTTACACCTATTTCATTCGAATGTATGTTTTATTTTTAAAGCTTTCATGTGATATTCTTTCACAATATTGTTGCTGTGTTGGAATAAGAGCAACACAGATTTTAAGATCTAAAGGCATCCATCCATATAAATGTGGATGGATACTTTATTGAGGTATTCATTGAGTTTTGTTCTTGTGTTTTGTTTTGTTTTGTTTCTTCTGGCCGTCTTTATAAACCAAGGCCTTTGTACTTACTGTTCCAGGACAGGGAGGGATGGGTTGTATGGCTTAGAGCAAAAACTGTCTAAAGCTAACCTTTTTTTCAGGCTTATAATTTTTTGAAGTCTATGTTTATAGCAGGCATTATTTTAGGAGAAAGGGAGAGAGGTGTCTCTGAAGATGAGGAGTAAGAAATGGGGAGCAAACGGAGGCAGGCAGGGACTGTAAGACTAGGAAGGAGATCGGAGCCACAGGAGCTCTGAGTGGAGAATGGTTATGTGGTGCCCATAGGAAAACTGGACACTTGGCAGCAGAAATCGTAGTCTGTGGGGGCGCCTGGGTGGCTTAGTCGGTTAAGCGTCCGACTTTCGCTTAGGTCGTGATCTCGCGGTTCGTGGGTTCGAGCCCCGCGTCGGGCTCTGTGCTGACTGCCAGCTCAGAGCCTGGAGCCTGTTTCAGTCTGTGACTCCCTCTCTCTCTCTGACCCTCCCCTGCTCACGCTGTCTCTCTCTCTCTCTCCTGGAAATAAATAAAACATTAAAAAAAAATAAAAAAAAAAAAAAGAAATCGTAGTCTGTGCAAAACTTTGCAAACCTGTGTCTTTGGAGCTTCTTCTGGGAACCATGTTGACTCACACCTTTAGCACAACACTTATTTTACCTTCTATCTACAGCCTGAACATCCTGCTTTGCTTGAGATACCCCAGACTCCAGAGCTGCATATGACTCTGATGGTGGAGTGCAGAGAAAGCCCAGTAATTTTTGAGGAGCAGTTCCTATCAGCCTGAGAAAATACGTGAAAGCTAGTATAATGTGCTATTTCTTGCACAAAAGAGTTTGTGGAGTAAAATTCAAACCCACTGCAGTTGTTTTTCAGAGCCGTAGAATTACTATTACTTGAATTAAGAATGCTATTGAGATTAAAAAAAAAGTATTTAATAATTTCTTTTAAACATGTCTTTGTCCTAGTTTCCATCAGAAAGTTTTTGTTTGCATGAATTTTCCTTCCATACCAAGTAAAAATATAATTCCATGGCAGCAAGTATAATTTCCTTTCCTACCTTCCATGATCCATTTCAGTTAAAAAAAAAAAAAAAAAAGATTTATTTTTTGGTAGTAGTCACTCATATTGTCATCCAGATACTGTTTCATGTAGTGTAGAGAGTGATATATCAAATCAATTAGCTTATCATTCATCTTGAAAGTTAGCTCTGGAGTAGAGTTACGCAATTAGCATTAAGTGTGCTAAGAACTCTGTTGTACTATTTTGCTTTGCTATATTGCATAGCAACATAGGGAACTCTTAAATGTTAGAAAAATGTAAGCAATTGCTATAAAGAAAACCAGACAGATATATAGCAGTATAAATCTGCCATTACTATCATAAGTCACTGTGTAAACTTTGTTGCTGGTACCTCATAGTTTCATTCTCATTTTCTTTCTGGATGAAATAAATATGGGTTCGAAAAAGTAACTAAGAAGTCAAAAGGGCCATGTTCAGAGGTACCCTGCTCCTTTTTGGGGCACAGAGTAGATTCCCATAGTTCCATGTAGATTTACACCAGCTCATTCTTCAAACCACGGGACACAGTATCAGGCTTATTATTTAATATTGCTCAGATTACAAAAATTATTTTTGAAACTAATTTTATGTATTTGTTTTATGTAACTACCTTACACTTAGTTCTTACCTGTCAAGACAATAGTAGTGGAATGAACTGAATACAGACTGTCAACTAAAATAGTGACACCTCTTGCAGACAGAGTAATATGGTCCACATCTATAATGACTTTAGCTAATACAATAATCTGAAAACAAAAATAAGCATAGAATCATTGAATGTTTTCTATTCTGCTTGTCTAATTAAGTGTTAATATTTAATGGCTACTTCTCAGGAAGGTTAAAAGGGTAATTTAGTATGATTCAATAGAAGAAAAGCAAGTGACGGGTGTGAGTTAGAGTACTTGTCCCTGTCTGATCACTGCAGTGAACATAGCAGGCCACAGCATTCTTCCTACAATATTTGCAGCTTTTGCATTCTTGAAGTATGGGCTCATAGAAAGTACTTCTGAATCTCGCGGTTCGTGGATTCGAGCCCCGCGTCGGGCTCTGTGCTGACTGCCAGCTCAGAGCCTGGAGCCTATTTCGGAGTCTGTGTCTCCCTCTCTCTCTGACCCTCCCCAGCTCACGCTGTCTCTCTCTCTCTCCTATAAATAAATAAAAAATATTAAAAAAAAAAAAAAAAGAAAATACTTCTGAAGTCATAGGATAGAAAAAGAAGAGAATACAAAGAACCCAGATACATCTAGTTGTCATAGGTTGAAGAATCAGTGTGATCAGCTAAAGATCTTCAGTTAGAAAACATGTCTTGGATACTACCATGTTTCTCTGCTTCTAATATGCAGACGATGAAAATAATACTATCTTTCCATCAACCTGACAGGTTGTTATAAGCATCAGATAAGATACAAAGGCAAAAAGTGCTTGTAACTTTGAAAATTGTATGTAAATAAAGATATTACCATAAATAATGGAGTTTTTATGAGGTGGAAAGGACTGGTATGAAAAATACTGTGAATTTTACAAGTCAGTAAGCATGTTTCCAGATTAAAATTTTTTCTAATTTTCAAGTTTTGACTAAAAAGACACTTAATTGATCTGAAGTTTTAAATTCCAGTTTTATACCTGAAATGCTGCCATTGCCTTCTCAGTTTCAATTGTTGATTCAAGAAAAGGTTCAAAAATTGATATGGTCATTATTCCACTTTCCAATATTAAGTATTGTTGAAGGCGATTGTTGAAGGCAAAAAGGGTTAATGCATAACCTGCCCTTAAACAAATATCCTAGAAATAGAAGAAACATGCGTTATGTTTTTTAACTTCAAAAAGACAGGTTTTAAGTTTACTTATTTTTGAGAGAGAGAGCAGCAGCAGAGAAGGAGAGAGAATCTCAAGTAGACTCTGTGCTATCAGTGCAGAGGTCAATGCGGGGCTAGAATTCATGAACCATGAGACAAGGACCTGAGCTGAAATCAGGAGTCAGATGCTTAACTGACTGAGCCACCTAGACGTTCCACATACATTATCTTTAACTTAGTTCATTTATTATGTTACTCAAAGTAATATATTTTAAATTCTCGCCCATCTAAATATCTTACATTCTTATCTCTGGGAGTAAAACATGACATCATTGGGGAAAACAGGTAATAGAGTCATCCCAGGATGTCATTGAACAGATTAAATAAAGTTGTGGTTTTAGGGAGAAGAGAGAAGTAGTTTTAATATTCAGAGGGAATGTCAGATTAATAATTATACAAATAAATATCTAAAGAGTTACAGGAAATTCCATAATTTCATTAACCCTCAACTTCTTTTGTTTTAACATATTTTTATTTTCATTTCAACATTTCAAAGTAGAGTTGATAAATCAAAACTTCCCTTGTACAGAAGGCTATATTATTACATTTTATGCATGTGGGATGGTCTCTATCATCTCTCAAAATAAGTTCATTTGTAAAATTCTCTACTATATCCTAAGAGGGAAATAAAAGAAAGATGGTTTAAAAATCACATTTTAATTTTCTGGGACTTGGCAAACAGAGAAAAATCCAATTCTCTCTCAGAGTCCGTTCACTTGCCAAAGATGAGTAAGTATGGTAGATTTCCCAGAAAGGCTCAAAAGATAGAACTTTATTACTAAATCTTGTTTTTAATATTTTGTTTGAAAAGTATGGTACAGAAAGAACCATTAATCTTGGTGAGTTTTCTTCCAGTGTTAACCAGTATATAAAAGTTCTATATGTGCCTATTAAAATATTTACCAATAAAATTTTATGATTCCTGAGATTTTCTTGAAAAATAATATAGAAAGAGCAAGTGCATATATAGATGAAATAATACTAGCCATGAATTGATAAGTGCTGAAACTGGGTCATAGGAATATTTAAGCTCATTATGCTACTCTTTTATTCTGTATATGTTTGAAATTTTCCATAAGAAAAATTATGTACACACAAAGTAGTCACCTGGCCATAAGCAAGAAGAAAGGTATTAAGAACACACGAAAGAACAGGGTCCAGTGAATGAAGCAGGTGGGAACAGGCTGAGAAGAAAAGGAGAATGATTAAGAGCAGAATGAGTAGTAGAAGAAAAAGGTGAAAGGTGTCCCTGAGGAATGAATAATGAGAATAAAATATGGAACGAACAGAGAGAGAAGAAAGGTGGCTTACAGAGTCAGTCAGACATGAATTCAGTCTCCTCTCCCTATATTCCCTGTATTATTATAGCAGCACATCTCCATTCTTTCATATACTACAGTACAGTAAAAATCTATATTTAAAAAAATAATGCAATAATTCATTTCTCCCCTCATAACTCCTCCTTTCTTGTTGCCAAATCTCCTAAAACTGGCAGAGACAGTTGGCAGTTTTCTTCCCTGAATGCTAAATGCACTGTAGACAACAAAAGTTCTCAAATTTCACTAGCGTTAGTCCTATTCAAAGTGTGACCCATGGATCAATGATAGTCCATAGAATGGTTGACATCAGGATTACAAGAACTAGGAATTCGAATTTAAAAGAACATTATAGTTAAATACCAACTAATCTAGAAAGGAAATGTTTATAGCCGCATTATCAACAATAGCCAAATTATGTGACGAGCCCAGATGTCCACCTCCTGATGAATGGCTAAAGATGTGGTGTATATATGTATATACAATGGAATGTTACTCAGCCATAAAAAGAATGAAATTTTGCCATTTGCAATGATGTGGATGAAGCTAGAGGATAGTATACTAAGTGAAAAAAGCCAGAGAAAGACAAATACCATATGACTTCACTCATATGTGGAAATTAAATTAATAAATTGAGAAATAAAACAAACAGAGGGGAATAAAAGAGAGGAAAACCAAGAAACAGACTGTTAACTATAGAGAACAAACCGATAGTTACCAGAGGGGAAGAGGGCAGGGAGATAGGTTGAGTAGATGATGGGGATTAAGGGGGGTACTTGTGAGGACCGGTGTTGTACGTAAGTGATGAATTACTAAATTGTACACCTGAAACTAATACTACACTGTATGTTAACTCATTGGAATTTAAATAAAAACTTGATTAAAAAAAGAATTTAAAAAAATTGCCATTAGCGAAATACCACAGTAATCATTGCTGCATCAGTGGATGCTAAAATTAGTGAGCAAAAGTACATGCAAAACAGAACATCTGCGTAGGCTCAAAATGTCTCACCTTAAGATATTTATTTAAAAAGGTAAGTACAGCAGAGAAATATGGCAGACACTACCTTAACCAAGTAACCAAAGTTAACATTGCCAATTATAAGAACAGAAAAAGGACACTGGTGAGAAAATTGGCAAACTTCAAATAAAGTTTGTTGATTAGTTAATAGTATGGTATCAATGTTAATTTCCTGGTGGATATCCAGGAAAGCTGGATGAAGGATATGCTAGAACACTCTACTATTTTTGCAAAATGTTGGAAAACCTAAGATTATCTCAAAGTTTAAAGTTTTTGTTGCTTTAGTTATCCTCGCAGTAACAGATTGCTGGGGGAAAGCTTTCCTCCATCAGAAATGTTTGAGAAGCACCACTAGAAAATAGTGGGTGATGAGAGTTGAAAGGTCATAAAATTAGGAAAAAGTTTTGATGCATCCAGGACAGAAGAGATTTATTAGCTCTCTAAGCATTAAAATTGCTATATTTCAAAGATGAAATAAGATAACTATGAAAAATATGGAACAGTATTATTTCATTATTACAAACTAATGACCCACCAAAGAGATTTTACATTTCTTATGTAATATATTTAAATATTACCATGCATAAGACATAATTTGAGGATTCTACATGAGCTTTAATGGTTTGTAAAGGTATTACCTTATCTTGTGAGTGAAGAAGATAAAGGACATCAGCATACTTAAATCCTTCATTTTCTTGTAATTCATTCTGTAACAGATCATTCCTTAGGACAATGCATGCCAAGGAAAATGCCACTTCAACCTAAATATGTAGTTTTCAGAAATTAGTTTATTTTTCACTCATGGTTTATCAAATGACATATTTCATTTTACAAACATTTATATGGGATATATTAATTCAACTGTGTAATTCATTGATTCCAGTTCTCTAATATTAGGGAGTGGCATTTACAGTGTCCGGAGGAATGTCCCTAATAATTTTTAACAGCTGGGAAAATATCCTTCCTCCATGTGCCAGCACCAACACAAAGCTCCATTTGAGAGGAGGGAAGGCAACCAGAGCCAGCAGGAAATGTGAGGAGGTATTATCTTAAGTGCATAGTTGTATCCCTTCCATATCCAAAAAAGACTTTTTTTTTTAAATTTCCTGGCCTGGAATAAAAAGCTGTTTTGAACTGCTTGTTAGCTATTGACCATTGAGTTGTAAGGCTTCAATAGAATGCCCATCATTTAAGCAAAAAATTCCCAAGACTGGGAAGTAGTCTCGAAGAATAGTTTTGCTGCAGTTCTGAAGTCATTTAATTCACATTCTGAAGCCTTTTAGGAGGATGTAAATGAACCTTGTTTATTGTTGGGACTCAACAGAAAGTTTTTTAAGATTAATTACATGATGCACATCTATGAAAAATGTTATGAATTTGAAAAGCATACTTATTGCAAAAGTATTTTGCTTACTATAGAATCTTACTTGAAGAAAAGTATTGAAATATATTGATGTTATGTTTTTAACAAGTTGAAGAACTCGTTGAAAATATATACTGAAATATGGATGGACACAATTGAAGTAAACTGTCTTGCCATGAAAATGCAGGTTTTAAAATAAAAATGTATTCTTATGTGGCATTTTCCATGGTATGAAATTTATTTGTATTTTGAAAGTCAGTTTAGTTTTTACATATAATTCGAGCCAAAAAATTGCAAGCATATGCTCCTTTCGTTTCCCTAATCAACTCCTATAATAGAATAATCTCTTTCATAGGCAGAAAAGCTGCATAACTTCTAACATCTTTTCTGATAACACATTCCTTAAAAGAAATTATGCTGTATTTACTTACATATTTCTGTTTTCTCATTTCCAACACAACTCATAACCAAATTTTGAAGAGAAAATGTATTTTTATAATTCCCTGCCTGGCCAACACTAGATGTCATAAATTTCCAAAGCTTTGGTAAAGGATTTGAATATATGCAAATGTCATTTTATTAAAAGCAGTTTACTAGAAGTAAATAGAAGAGTGAATGACTGTTAAATAACTTGTAGGATATTTGTGATGTTCACATTTGAGAAAACTACTAGTGCTGGCCAACACAGGCTGCTTGGTAGAAGATAGGGTTGCTTTGGTGGTTAACACTGACATGAATCACTTAAATTTGAGAATTTTTGCTACATAAATCACATATCCTCATTAGCCCTACCCAGTTTTAGCAACCAATATCTGAGGAAGTAGGGAAGAAATTCTGTGAATAACCAAATATCTGAGGAATAAAACTTTGATGAGAAAGGACACAAGACTTAATTATTTGAAAATTTAATATTTTAATAAAATTTATTTTATCTTTACTACATTTTTGCAACTTTTATTTAAAACTTCTAGGATTTTGTTCAAAAGGTTAAATTCTTCTAGTATACTTGTAAACTTCCACGAAGATACAATTTATTCTTGGAAAGTCATATTTACTGTATCAGAAAAAAATAACTTAAAACCTTTTATATACCTTAATGTTAGGAGAAGGGTGGTTTCTCAGTAATTGGATAAGTACTGGAAAGGCATTTTCCTCTGCAACAAATTGTTGACTGACAGGATTACTTGTATGAGCAACACCTGGAAAACATACATATCAATAAAATAATATTTCTGGTATGGTAATGCCAAAAATAGTTTGATATGTTTGGTTGATAAAGTGTTCTAGCATAATATGGTTAATAAGTTACAAAAGGAAATTCTGTGTCAACACTATTTTACCTGAATTAATTTTTTTTAAGTAGGCACCACGCCCAGCATGGAGCCCAGTGTGGAGCTCAGACTTACAACCCTGAGATCAAGACCTGAGCCGAGATCAAGAGCTGGATGCTTAACGGACTGAGCCACCCAGGTGCCTCTTGAATTAATTTTGTTAAAAGACGAAGTGAATAAACATGGAAAAATTACTATTAGAAGTGTGGATGGTTTTCTAATAGTCACAAAACAAAGAAATAAGAAATGCTAGCCTATCAAGGAATAATAGTATAATAGCTATCATTTTTTGATGATTTATTATTTGCAAGGTACTTAAGTTTATAGGTACTATTGTATTCCATAAAAAATAAATTTTATAAAAATGACTAGAATAAATCACCTGATTAATAATTCTAGGTCCCTTAAATACACATACTAAAAAGATAATCTTACTGTCTTCTTTTATAACATAATACTTTAAATTATAGGCTTAATCTCAATTTAAAAGTCATCTCTGTCTAATGGACATGTACAAATAATTTTAATTCTTTTCTTCTTCCAACAAAAATCACAACACATACACTGTGGGTTTATATACTTAAGTATAAATACAAGATCAGCCCTCTCTCTGAACAATAAAGAGAAGTCACCTACTTATTATCCTCTGGGGAAGCTTGAAGGAACTGCCAGAAATGCAGCAAAAAACATGTTTGTTTCCTTGTCCCTAGCCCCCCACTGGACACCCAGGGATATACACAGACACTGATTACATGAATATTCTTTCTTTCTGTCTTTTTTTCGGTCTTTCTTTCTGTCTTTTCTTTCTGTCTTTCTGTCTTCTCTTTCTTTCTTTCTTTCTTTCTTTCTTTCTTTCCTTCCTTCCTTCCTTCCTTCCTTCCTTCCTTCCTTCCTTCCTGTCTGCTGTCTTTCCCCACTTGTGAGTGGAGTAGGAGGGAAGGTAGAGGGAGGGAAAGAAGATGAGAGAGAGAGAGAGAGAGAGAGAGAGAGAGAGAGAGAATCTTAAGCAGGTTCCACACCCAGCATGGACCCGGATGCAAGGCTAGATCTCACAACCCTGAAATCATGACCTGAGCCGAAGTCAAGAATTGGATGCTTTACTGACTTAGCCACCCAGGAGCCTCACATGAATATTCTTGATTCAGCTGACAGGTATTGAATGCCTAATGTACCAGGAATTGAGGTAGGAAGTAGGACTGAAGAGAGGAATTAGAATCTCTGTCCCCAAGGAGTTTATATGCTATAGGGGAAGCAACTATATACATGCAATACATGCTACATGACTTCAATAAATGCAGTAAGTGCTTTTACAGAGGTATAGAAAAATACACTTAAAGCACAGAGAGGGGGTTGCTCGCTTCAGAGTAGGTGGGAAAGGAGTAACCAAGGAGATTTCCAATGGTGAAGGTGCTGGAGGCAGGTCCCCTCAGAATGAATATTTTTAATAATAATGATTATGATAAGATGATTGTGGTGTGAAAAGAAAAACACTCTCAAATCTTTGAATTTTCACATGTTAATAATGAGATGAAATTCCACTAGGTTGGGGAAAGAAACACTATAAGAAATAAGCTAAACAATTCTTAGAGCTCACATAGGGCTAGGAATGGTTTGTGCTCTCTGGCCAGAGTTCAGATACCTCATAACTCAAGGTATTATACAAGGAATTGAGTCCTTGGAACTGTATCATCTTAATGGTGGAGTTGAGTTAGTTCCAGAGTGAATGCTGCTGTAGAGTTGTGCTAAGAAAGCTTAAGAGTTAGGGGTGCCTGGGTGGCTCAGTTGGTTAAGTGTCCCGACTTCAGCTCAGGTCATGATCTCACGGTTCATGGGTTCGAGCCCTACAACGGGCTCTGTGCTCACAGCTAGCTCAGAGCCTGGAGCCTGTTTCAGATTCTGTGACTCCCTCTCTCTCTGACCCTCCCCTGCTCACGCTGTCTCTCTCTCTCAGAAATAAATAAAACATTAAAAAATTTAAAAAAAAAAGAAAGCTTAAAAGTTAGCTGAAAAAGGATCAAACTGATCCCAAGAAAAGATAACCACAAAGCCTCACAGAGCCTAACTCCATTTAAAGGAAAACCATAAAATCCAGCATTTATCAGTTTACAACTCACAATGTCCAGCATTCAATCAAATTTATTATACATGATTTAAAAATACATAATACCTAAGATAAAATATGTACAAAAACTATGTGTTGGGAACTAGGAATCCTTGCTGAGAGATATTAAAGAAGACCTAAGCAAGTAGAGAGGTACACTGTGTTTATGTATTGGGAGACTTTGAAACAACTCTGAAAAAGAATAGCAAAGTTGAAGGACTTACATTTTCTGCTTTCAAGATTTACTATAAACTTCCAATAATTAAGACAGTGAGTGAGTATAGGATAAAGATAAACAGATAGGTAAGTAGAACAGAATAAAAAGTCCATAAATAGACCCACAAAAATTCAGTGGGGGAAAGGTAATCTTTTCAATAAATGAGGCTGAAGCAGTTGGATAGCCATGTGCAAAAAAAATCAATCTCAGCCATATACAAAAATTAAATCATATAGATCATACATCTAAATAGAGGAAAACAGAAAGCCTTTATGATCTTGAGTTTGGCAGAGATTTCTTAAAGGGGACACAAAACCTATGAACTAAAAAATTTTTAAATATCAATACATTTGATTTAATCAAAATTAAAAGCTTTTGCTCTCCAAAAGACCCTGTTACAGGGGCACCTGTGTGGCTCAGTAGGTTAAGTGTCTGACTTCAGGTCAGGTCATGATCTCGTGCATGCTTTGTGAGTTTAAGCCCTTGCATCAGGCTCTCTGCTGTCAGTGCTGTCAGCTCAGAGCCGGCTTCTGACCCTCTTTCTCTGCCCCTCCCCCACCTCACATATGCTCTCTTTCTCAAAAATAAACATTAAAATAAAATAAAAACATTTTTATTCCAAAAATGGAAGGACCCACCATAGACTGGGCAAAATAGATGCAAAACATACATCTAACAGATGATTTGTATCTAGAACATATAAGGAATGCTTACAACTCAACAAGACATCACAATTTTTAAAATGGGCAAGATATCTGAACAGACTCTTTACCAAAGAGGATACACTAATGGCAAATGAGCACATGAAAGGGTGTTCTGTATCACTAACCATTAGGGAAAAACAAGTTAAAACCACAGTGAGATTCACTGCACACCGCTACAATGGCTAAAATCATCATGCTAAGTGATGATGAGTATCTGAAGCTGCTGGAATTCTCATACACTGCTAGGAGGAATGCAAAGTGATAACACATGATTGAAAACAGTCTGGCAGTTTCTCTAAAAGTTAAACACCTCTCATATGTTCCAGCAGTCCTACTTTTAGGTATTCACCTCCAAAAATGAAAACATTTGTGTCGGCCTGAAAACTTATACACAAATGTTCATAGCGGTTTTATTTACAATAGCAAGAAACTGGAAACAATCTAAGTGTCCATCAGTGGGTGCATGGATCAACAAATCATAGTATATCTATGTATTAATCAGTATTTTCCAGAAAAACAGAACCAAAAGGATATGTATGTACGTAGGTAATAATTCCATACAATGGAATAGTGCTCTGCGTTAAAAAGTGAACTATTGATAAAAAAAAAATAATAATATGCATAAATGTCAAAATAACTGTTGAGTGAAATAAACAAGAAAAAAGTATATATGTATATCCATTTACATAAGATTCTAGAAAATACAGACTAATCTATAATGATAGAATACAGATTAGTGGTTCTCTGGGAAGGGAAGTACAAAGAGAGAGCAAAGGCACACGATGAAACCATTGGAGGTGATGGTGATATTCATTTATCTGATTCTGGTGATGGTGTCACAGCTGAAAGCGTATGTCAAAATTCATCAAATTGTACAGTTTAATGTATTTTTTAAGTTTATTTATTTATGTTGAGACAGAACATTTTGGGAAGGGCAGAAAGAGGGGAAAAGAGCGAATCCCAAGCAGTCTGTGGTGACAGAATGGAGCCTGATGCAGAGCTCAATCTCACAAATTGTGAGATTATAACCGAGTCAAAATCAAGAGTCAGACACTTAACCAATGGAGCCACCCAGGTGCCCCCAGTTTAATGTATTTTTATATTTTATTCTATTGTATATTTTACTTAAATACTTTATTATATGTAAATTATTTTAGTAAATCTTTAAAAAACCCACATATGAATTGTTCTAGGCATGCAAAGAAGTAGGAAAATATGATTCATAATCAGGGGGAAAATAATCATCTAATAGAAAGAGACCCAGAGGGGCGCCTGGGTGGCTCAGTTGATGAAGCGTCCGACTTCCACTCAGGTCATGATCTCACAGTCTGTGGGTTCGAGCCCCACATCGGGCTCTGTGCTGACAGCTCAGAGCCTGGAGCCTGTTTCACACTCTGTGTCTCCCTCTCTCTCTCTGTCCCTCCCCTGCTCACTCTCTGTCTGTCTCTCAAAATAAAGACATTAAAAAACAAAAAAAAGTTAAAAAAAAAAGAAAGAAAGAAAGAGACCCAGAAATGATTTAGATGCTGAAACTAGTTACAGGGAAGTTAAAACAGCCATTTTAAATATGTTAAATATGTTTTAAGATCCTAGAAGAAAACATGAACATGATGAGGAAAAAAAAGGAAAGTGTGTGTAGGTATATAACCAGTCTAAACTAGTAAATTTGAAATCAAGAGTTTTCTTCTGTAGTTCTACTGGAGAATCCCTTATCTATGGCAAATGTAGACAGCTTTGAAGTAAACTAATGAGAAGAAATTGCATACACGTGCACACACACAAGGTATTGTATATATGTTATCATCTATTAAAATTTTAGAACGATCTATAATTTATATCATAGGCTCTGGCTGGAAAAAGACACATTATTTTGTCTGACTGATTGTCTTGGAATTTAATGAATTTCTTCAGAGTAGCTTTTTCAAGTAAGGAGAAACAAATCTTTTTGGAACCAGTTCCTACATTCTGCATTCCAGCTAGACTATTTTTTGAGGAAATACAATCAACTAAAAATAAAGGACTTTTTTTCTTATCTATAAGAAACAGTCTACAATAAGCCCTATACATTCAGAAGGTCAGAAAAGAACACAAATTTTTCTTTTTGGTAGATCAAGCACTGACAGCACTTTTACAGATATCCCAAAAAGTTAACTCTTTTTCAATGAAAGAACAGCTAGACCTACTGGCCACTTTATAAAGAAAGAATCATGGAAAAAGACTGGAATTTAAAAATGTGCCCCAACATTAAAAACTCCATATAAAACATACAGTTCCTGATATTCAAAAGAAGAAATATTTTTCTCTTACACTCAGAGAAACATGAGATTCTTTTAACCTAAAATAGCCAAGGATCATTGTCCTTATTACCCTTTATAACCAAAGTTCAAGGGCAAAATGGATATAAAATTATTAATTACACCACTTTTACTCATTAATGCCTTGGAGAAATAAAAAAAAATGGTAAGCCTTTTATAAATTAAATATGCTTTAGGGCTCTATCAATGGGGACAGAGAGGAAAGGAAGAATCTTACTTATATTTTAAAAATTGAGGAAATAATTACAAACCAATACAAATGGACCCCACTGCTCTGATGACACTCAGAAGTGTGCCTTCAGCTATTTTATTGATCCTTAGTAAGCGAACCAATGGTGCAATTCCATTCCCTTCACATATTTGATTTTGGTGCATCCTGCTGTCCTTACTTAGAGCTATGACTGCTTCACCTCCTGGTAAAGAAAAGCAAGAAACATGTCTGATACTTCAGCATGCTGCCTTACATTGTGCAGATGGATGCATAGGAAAGAACTCACCAACATACTGCATTTTAGCTGATGGTGACAGAAGCATGTTTATTATAAAGTTGTATCCAATCTGCTCTGCCATATACTTCTGTTGTTTCAGCGTTTGACCAGCCAAGGCCCAAAGGGCTACAGCTCCTTGTTCCTTAACATCTATTTGAAACGCCTATTAAAAAATACATATTCCATTCTTTCAATGAGCATCGATGGAACGCTGTAGGAATGCTTTATAAAAGGTTTATTCTAGAATTGGTTATAGTTTTCTTTTCACTTTATGAAATTCAATATTGAATACTTTGCCTAAGAAAAATGACAAGTAATCATAAACATTCCTACCTTGAGGAGTTTTAAAAGATATTTGCTTAATGATTTTTCCAGAAATTCTCTCTGTATAGACGGGTTGTAACTTGCCAGCGATTCCACAGCCATTGCACCCTTGACTTGGACACTAAGGTGTTTCCCTTTAAAAAGAGCCACCAGAGGAGGAATGGCTCCTTCTGAAGCCATAGCGTTCTGCACTTCCCTGTTGTCACGTGCCACCTCAGCAATCGTAGCGGATGATACAGCCTTCAACACATCTTCACATCAATTTAAGAAACAGTTAAATAAATCTTTTAAAAATATTTAAGAAAATGCAACTTTTCATTAGATTCTCATATTATAGAATCAAACTTACAGAGTGTGTAAAAATTTAGAAAATAAAAATAGAAATAAAACCATCCAGATTCTCACCACCCAAACACAAATATTTCATTTAATCTCATTCACTGTTTTAAAAAAAAAAGTTTACTTATTTATTCTGAGAGAGAGAGAGCAGTGGAGGGGCAGAGAGAGAGGGAGAGAGAAGCCCAAGGAGGCTCTGTGCCAAGAGCACAGATCCTGATAGGGGCTCGAACTCACAAACCATGAGATCATGACCTGAACAGAGATCAAGAGTTGGACACTTAGCCAACTGAGCTACCCAGGTGCCCCATTCTCATTCATTTTTAAAGTGAAAAGACATATTTATATAGTGTTCTAGACATTTTATATAAATGTCTAGATGTTGTATCTAGATATAAATGTTGTACTATAAATCCTGTATTTTAATTTACCAGTAAAACATTTTCCTGTTCTTTATGAACATCATTGTCTCCCAAATATTCATTAATGAATGTATTACATTTCCTTAGCCATTCACATTTTTATTTTTTAAAGTTTATTTATTTATTTTGAGAGAAAATGAGTGCAAATGGGGGAGGAGCAGAGAGAAAGGGAGAGAGAGAATCCCAAGTAGGCTCTGGGCTGACAGCACAGGGCTCAATTTCATGAGCCATGAGCCAAACTCAAGAGCCAGATGCTTAACCGACTGAGCCAGCCAGGCACACTGACTGGTAGAAAAACCTCACAGTTTTAAAAAATACATGGTGTTTCCAACTTTCACTATTTTAAACAATGTTTAGGAGAAATGTTGGCACATAAGGTATTTTTCCTTCTTGTTTTTTCCTTTAGTATAGAGTACCAGGAATTACTGGAATAATTTAATATATCACATTAAATTACTTTCCAAAATTGATTATTGCATCTGAGCCTTTCATTATCAGAGTATAAGCGTTTCAGTGTTGCTGTATCTTTTTAAGTACAGGTATTATCATTAAGAATAAATTCATAAATTTAGCTAATTTGATAGGCAAAAAATTGTATCTCCCATTTCATATTTTTGATTACTATTGAGACTAAACAATTTCATATATGTTTTTTAACCAGTTATACTCATTCTCTTTAAAACATACAGGAAAGTTGCAAGAATAAATCCGAGAACTCTCCCAAGATTCAGCAATAATTGATATATATCCATCATTTTTTAACTTTTTTTGTTTTTTACAATATGATGTTTCTGTCACAGTATGATGTTTCAGACTCACCATGTACCTGCTCTGCTCCACCCCTGAAATAAGCCATTTGTCCAAGAAGTCCTGGTTCCTTTTAATGAGGAATGGTACTTAGAAATAAAGATTTGAATACTAGATGTGTTCATTGTTACTTACGTATCATTTCTTCTAGACTCTTAGTAGACAAGACTAGAAAAATGTATGTATTTCCAGTTTTCCAGTTCCAACCCAACACCACAGGATTCTTTATTGCCTTTCCATGTGCTGTATCCTTTTCACAGTGAGAACCCAAATACTATTCAACACATTTATTCACATGTTCGGTTCTACAATACTTTTAATACTTTAACAGTTCAGAGCTGTTTCAGCCATATCACTATGAAATACAAATCCACTAAGAAGAATTCAAGATATGTTTGCAGTTTTGTGTGTGTGTGTGTGTGTGTGTGTGTGTGTGTGTGTGTGTGTGTTTGTATAGGGAAGTGCTATGTTCAAAAATCACTTGTATTCATTTTTTTTCTTCCTTTAAAATCTTTATGTAATCCCTTTGAAGTACAGTTGAATTCATTTGTTTCTGTTTGGTTTCAATTTTAGTTTCCCCCTGGTAGACTTAGAGATCTAATTGTGTGTGTGTGTTTGTGTGTATGTATGTGTGTGTGTGTGTGTGTGTTTTCATATGTAAGACATATGTTTCAAAAATTCAAAAAATGCACAGAAGTCATTTTTTTATCCAAACAGGCAGACTCTATATCCAACATTTGTTCTTTCATAGACTATTTGGGTTAGTTCTCTCTCTGTTAAGGCCTTTTGTTCATGTCAATTTATCTATATCACTTATATCAAATATATTAACTTTTTGCTATGAATATTTTCATCATTCAGCCATTTGTGTTTTCAGCAAATACTTTACTGAGGAGCTCCTACATTCCAGGCACTATCCTAGGCACTGGGAAACAGTGATGAACCAACAAGACACAAGTTCTTGACCTTGTGGAGCAAGCCAAAGGCCAGAAGTATGAAATAGCAATAGGTTCCATACTACTTTAGAGTAAAATAAGAGAGGAAGGGAGTGATAGGAAGGTCATTTCCTTTTGGAGTTGGAAGGTTAGAAGGGCTTCTAGACTATGATAGGAAGTCGGACTTTATCCTAGGTGACAAAGAGCTAGTGAACTATTTAAAGGAAGGTATAGAGAGATGCCTGGGTGGCTCAGTTGGTTAGGTGTCAGACTCTTGGTTTTGGCTCAGCTTATGATCTTACACTTTCATGAGTTCAAGCCCCACATCGGGCTCTGTACTGATGATGTGGAGTCAGCTTGGGATTCTCAGTCTCCCTCTTTCTCTGCCCCTCCACAACTCATGCTGTCTCTCAAAATAAATAAATAAACTTAAAAAAAATAAAGTAGGGAAAAGATATGATTAACTTTTCATTTTACATACATCACTCTAGTTAAACACCTGGAATGTTGTTCAGCCCAATAGGTTAATAAAATTAAGAGAATGTGGGGTATCATTCTTTATCTTACTCTTTACTGCTATCTGAGTTCAAAAAGTGTAAATTCCTTCTCTCACTTCCCACAGAGGCACATTACTCATTTCTCCCATAAAAGGAATAGTGAGTTACATAATTTCTTAATTTGGAGAATGGGTCATTGCTAATGCATGGTTTAGGTTCATTTTGGCACTATTGTTGTTTGATGTTTTCTCAAAGCAAGCAATAAGGCTGAAGTTTTTATCTCTCTTTGATTCCTGCGTCTATTATCAATTGTATCCAAATTCTAAAGGGAGAAGAGCTGTCTTTGCCCCTCAATAATCCAAACTAGCTCTAAAGTTCAAAGGAGAAGTCGGGAGTTTGGATACAGAACTAGAAAGAATAGATTATAACCATAACAAAGTTCTGAAGAGTAAATAGAATTGCTTAGGAGAGTGTGCTGTGTGAAAGAAAAAGGAAAGAAAGGAAAGGAAAGGAAAGGAAAGGAAAGGAAAGGAAAGGAAAGGAAAGGAAAGGAAAGGAAAGAGAGAGAGAAAGAAAGAAAGAGAAAGAAAGGAAAGAAAGAAAAAAGAGAAAGAAAGAAAGAAAAAGAGAATGAAAGAAAGAAAAGAGAAAAGAAAAAGAAAAGAAAAGAAAGAATGAGAAGAGAAAAGCCCAAGGAACTCCAACTTTGAGAGTTAGGTGCAATAAGGGGTGCCTGGGTGGCTCAGTCAGTAAAGTGTCCGACATCAGCTCAGGTCATGATCCCATGTTTCATGGGTTCAAGCCCCGCATTGGGCTCTGTGCTAACAGCTCGGAATTTGGAGCCTGCTTCAGATTCTGTGTCTCCCTCTCTCTCCCCCTCCCCTGCTCGTGCTCTCTCTCCCTCAAAAATAATAAACATTTTTTAAATGTTTAAAAAAAAAGAGGTGCAAGAAGCTTAATGGTAGAGGCAGTCTTTATCTAAAACTCTTGCAAACAGAATTCTGAAGTTTTCAAATTTTAGAAGATACTGAGTGCATATATTATGTATTACATAGCATCCTGGAGAGTCTGGAAAACATATCTGCGGTGAAATGTATAAATAATCATTCTAAGAAAGATGAGGTGCTCTTTCAGTTTTGCTCAGATAGTTAGCAGTTGAAAAGTATTTTGTATACTTTCTGTTACATATTTCAATTTCTATGGTGGCCTCATGACACAGAATAGGAAAACTGTGTGCCACAGAAAAGATGAAATCTGTAGCATTGTAGGAATGAAAATGAGAATATGCATGCAGACACACACATATGTGGAAGAGTGTGAAATAAGCAGCTAAAGATGGGTGAAGCAAAGGCTTAAAACAAACCAAACTCAGCAAAGGTTGAGGAACTTCTGGAGATAGGGGTCAAGACTAAGGAGATGTTAATAAATCCGTAGTCTCAAGAAACTGCCTATGACTCTGGGGCCATTTTACTTTAATGTGTGAGATCTTAGAGTGGTTGCAAATGTTTAAGAGGATATTGGAATTAATAAAATTCCTTTGTGACCCACTACAACTTACCAACCCTGCTAAAAGTCAAGAGAACTACTTGTTGAACCTCCAAAATTATAAAGTATTTATAAATTATATATGAAGAGAAAAAAAGGTTCCTTTTTTTCCAAAATTACCTTCCTTGGAATGAAGAGGTAACATAGATTATAGTGTAGGGTAAGTTATTTTCATTTAGTTAGGGCAAGAGCCCCAAAAGAAACAATTTTAACAATTTATTTCTATAGCTTTCTTTCATGAATTTATTTATTATTTGTTCAAATTGCCTCTACAGTTTGTGCTTTGTTTTAACATCTGGGGTTGGGAGGATGAAAAATGATAGGGGAAAAACTAGTCCCTGTCTTTAAATTTCAATTAAGGAGATAAAACACAAAGAATAAAATAAAGAGTAATTATAGGGGCACCTGGGTGACTCAGTCGGTTAAGTCGGTTAAGCCGACTTTGGCTCAGGTCATGAGTTCATGGCTTATGGGTTCAAGCCCTGCATTGGGCTCTGTGCTGACAGCTCGGAGCCTGGAGCCTGCTTCAGATTCTGTGTCACCTTCTCTCTCTGCCCCTCCCCTGCTCATGCTCACTCTCACTCTCAAAAAATAAATAAACATGAAAGAGTAATTATAAACAAGTAGAAATTCTGTGGCTACAATATGCATAAAAGCTGGCTGTCTTTAATGCTATTCTTTTTTTAATCGAAGTATAATTGACATACCATGTTATATTAATTGCAGATGTACAACATGGTGGAGAGTGATTGGATGATTCTATACATTATCTTAATGGTATTCTTACAAATGATAAAGTAGAGCATAGTTACTGATGGAGGGCAAGTTAAAGCAGATGACCTTAGGAATTTGTAATGAAGGGAAACGACTTTCAAATGATTTCCCTATACGAGAGAGGTTATTAGAAGATGATAATTCCTTAACTTTGAAGGTCTAAAGTAAAAGAAGGCCCTCTGCAACAACCCCTTTATCCATAACCTTGTATTACATGTCAACCAACATTTTTTTCTGTATTTATTCCTGGAGAGCTAGACCAGAAAAATATTAAACTAAGCAGGAAGAAAAATGGGCAAGCTTGGCAGACAGTCTCTCCTTTGCTATCCCCTCTACCACTCCCTTATGGTGTATTCAATAAACTTTTTTTTTAAAAATTTTAAAAATTTATTTATTTATTTTGAAAGAGAGAGAGAGAAAGTTCAAGTGGGGAAGGGGTGGAGAGAGAGAGAGGGAGAGACAGAATCTCAAGCAGGCCCAGTGCTGTCAGTACAGAGCCCGATGTGGGGCTCAAACTCACAAACTGTGGGATTATGACCTGAGCCAAGATCAAGAGTCAGATGCTTAACCTGCTAAGCCACCCAGGCTCCCCAATAAGCTTCTATTTCCTTCACAAAAAGGCCAAGCTTTTCCCCAATTTTTTAGCCCCTCATATTCGAGGAAAACCATAGATCTGAAGCTTGTTCTGTAATGTGTATGCTCACTGAAATGAGATAATTCTTATGGAACCTAAGAGATCATTTGCAGTACCTGCAAGAGCTATCTCATAGCTTGTGATGTTCTCGGAACTGATATGTACTTCAGAGTCTGATAAGTAGCCTAAAGACCTGATGACTTTGAATTTTGTTACCAATATCTAACAGCAAATCTGAAGTTTTTTTGTTGTAACTTATAAAATATTCCAATGATCAATATATGTATTCCCAATGATCAATATATGTATTATTTCTATATAGGGAGTCATTTACTCAAGTCCCTGGGCATGTTAACTGCATTATTTTCATTATTTATGCCAGTATTTCCATTTATAGATAAGTCCAGTTAAACTTTTTTTAATAAAACCTGTGGTTTTAGTCAGTTCTTATAAACTTGGTGTTTAATTTGAGTGTTTGAGATATTTAGTTTATATTATATATGTCTAGATCCATTCTAAGATAACAGGATATGTCTTCATCTAAGACAAGTCCAACCTGTATTTGCTTCACTCAGTATATCCGGCCACTTAAAATAATACAGAAATCGAGGCTCACCTGAATCTGAACTCAGAAATGTGATAAGATGTTGGATGCCTTTATGGTCTCTCACTGCTCTTTGATTTTGTTCATTCCCTATACATAATACTCGTATACAGTTCATTACATTTACTAGCACATTTTCTATGTCTAACTTCAAGAGACTTATCAGAGCTGGGATTCCATTCTAAAGATGAAGAAACAAAAAATTAATTACAATGGAATTATTTAAGATTCATGCAATCTTTATTTAAAAACATAAGTCTATAATCTTTCTTGCTATAAATATCCACTTATATTAGGAGACAATGATTGCCTATAAACAAATGTGTTTACTGGTATGTCACATTAAATGACAGTTAACTTTGAGCATAAAATAGTCTCCTCTACACCAAAATAAATTAAGGCTACAAGGTCACTGTAACATTTAATAAATGTCTTAAAAGTAAAGCAGTTCAGTAAGATCAACTAAATACACTGCCAATTTGGAAATACTTGCCATTGTAAACATTGTGCTGGTAATTGGTAATTGGTAATTGAATTTGCACAACAAAAAATATTTTTAAATGTAAATTCTTAATTTTAAATGGAGTATAGGTGGCATTTCTCTCTACTGATAGAAATAATGCAAGAATATTAAGGAAGATAAATAAAAATGTAACCTCATTTTCAATAAAATTAGGAGACATCTGTAATATTGAGCCATAATAAGTATGTGTGAATTACCAGCAAGTATTAGAGAGATCTCCCATGGCCACTGTCCATAGGAAATGCTGGCAGAGCACAGTTGTCCGAAATGAGTGCCTCTGCCTTGAGGGGCAGAAAAAGAAATACACAATTCCCTCTCTGAAATAGTAGGAATGGGTATGCAGGATGGCAGCAGGCTCTTTCCTGGGTCATTTTGGCATAATGTTTCAAACATTAAGGAAGGCAAGGATTGACAAGGAATCATACTGACAAGATATGTTTGAAAGAAGTAGACTCTCAGTGAAGTAAGAGATAGACTCTGCATTGTGGAGGAAACAGAATCTTATATTGTGAGGTACTATGTACCAGTCTCTGTTGGCTTAGAGAAAAGTAAAGCTGAAAGAATCCATGCATACAGCTCTGTGGTTAAGTCCTATCCTTGCTAGTCTAGAACTGGGCCCTTTCCCATATATACTTCCTGCAAGTAGCCGGACGAAAGAGAACTTAACTAATTCAAAGATGAGTAATGATCAGAACAGAACTAGAACAGCATCCGTCCAAATATAGTTAAGAAAAAAATAGAAAAACTTATGACAGATGAAGAATGCTCATCAAAAAAATATTGCCACAAAACAGATGAAATTACTGAAAGTGGTACATTATTATCAATGAAAAAAATTAATGAGGCAATCACTTCTATAAAACAAGAATGCACAGGAGAGACATCAGAGCTCAGGGAAGATTTTTTTGAGACAGGGAAGAATAAATGGGAGCCACAGAAGCTCAGGAAAGATGTGGAGAAAGAAAAGCCAAATTGTAATCCACACAAAAATAAACAATGCTGAAAAACAGCAAGGGACAAGAAGGACAGGATTAAGAAAAAAAGAAAAATGAAATAAAATGAAACAATGAGTGGAAAAGGACTAGCAAAAAAATGATAGCTATGTAAGGCAGGAAAAAGTAATATCATATGCAAATAATGTTTTCAAAGAGAAGTGGTCATTTAATTCAGGCCAATAAATGCAATGATCAGTATTTGACTTTCTCCTTTCAATACCTCTGACACTATTGATCATTCTTTCCTCTTTGAAACACTTCCTTCATTTAGCTCATAGGACAAATGATGCTTCAGGTTTCCTCCTACCTTGTTGGCCATTCCTTCTTAGTCTCCTTTGGGGTCCCTCCAGATCTTTCAATTCCCACAGATCCTGGTGAACTCAACTTTCAAAATATAATACAGAATGTGATCACTTCTCACCATTTTCACTATCATTATCCTGGTTCAAGACACCATTATCTGTTATCTGGATTACTATAATAGTTTTTCAATTAGTCTGGACACATCCATACTTGCCCGCCTATTTCAACAGAGGATAAATATTAATCTCTTCATGGAACTTCCCAGAACAGAATCATTCAGTGGCTTACCATACTCAGAGCAAAAGCTAAAATGTCTGACAGTTGCCCACAAAACCCTACATGACGTGGTCCACCATTACCCAGCTGAACATCTCCTGCTTCTCTCCCCTCAGCCACTCTTGGTTTCTTGCTGCTCCTCGAACATACCAGGCACATTCCAGCTTCCATTAACTTTGCACTTGTTTCCTCTGCCTAGAATACTCTTCCCAACATCTTCTCATCTACTTTAAGTCTGTACTCAAATGCCAGGACTTAGTGAATTATTTTTCACCAAGCTCCCCCCTCCCCCTTCTCTGTTTTATTGTCCTCCTACCACTTGTTGTCACCTAACATATGTTTGTTTTATTTGCTTTACTTATGGTCTTGCTATTCCCAAGTAGAATACAAATTCCATGAAACTGGGGCTTTACCTGTTTTGTTCACTGCTATAACCCCAGCATCTAGAATAGAATCTGCCATTTAATAAACTCATAAAACATACTCATTGTGTGAATGGACTAAAAGAACACTACAGAAAAAAAAATACTTAAAGATATGCATTCAGGAAAGCATTCCAAAAATAAAGGAAAATGAATATACATGTTGAAAGGTTATACCAAGTCCAGGGAAAACAGGTAACTAATGTTAACATATAAGTCCTGGACTTTAAAGATAAAAAGTGAAGGAAAACACTGACTGTAGTAGATTAAAGATAAAAAGATAGTAATAAACTATGACAGAACTAAGATTAAACATATTATATCAATGAATATAAATGAGCTATACTCAATATAAAGTAAATGGCAAAGCATAACCTTAATATGCTGATTCAAGGGACACATTTATCCTAATTCTGGGTAATTATTAGATTAACTGGAGATTATAAATTCTAAATAAGTAAAGACTAACTCTAGAGGTGGGCCTGGGATGTATATATTTCTAATACATTTCCCAAAGATAACCAACCAACCAACCAACCAATCAACAGAAGATGACTCAAAAAAGTTAAAAAAGGATGGGCAGAGCCAAATTAAACATGAGAGTACAAAGGAAACAAACAGATCACAAACATAATTCTGGACAAGATGGAATTCAGGGCAAAAGTATTGCACTCTACAAAAAAAGGTACATTTTATGACACTAAATGATTCAATCCATGGTGAAGCAACACCTGAAGGAAACAATAAAAATAATCTTATAAATCTCTCCTGAAAGATCTTAAGTCAAACTTAAACAGACACAATACAGTGTGTTTCACTTGAGGAAATACAGCATGGCAAAGATTGCTTGGTGTTCACAAAAAAATAACTTTCTGGTACACAGTTAGACTGCATTTTCCAGCCAGAGCAGTAATAGCCAATGTGGTAGCGTTTCTTGTAACACCTTCTCATAAACAAGAAGCGACCATATCCGAGAGCTAAGTAGGCACTCGACCTGCCTTCTGTATTACCTCAGGTAATAGTTTTACCAGGTATTTCTGTTGAGAAACAGTCCTCCCTGGGCCTCTCGCATTCCTGTGTATCAAGACTGTGACAGTTCTTTCACCTGGGCCATGCCTCAGGATTTTTATTGTTATTTGAATATTTTTTTTTAATTTTTTTTTTTAATGTTTTATTTCTAAGAGAGAGAGAGACAGCGTGAGCAGGGGAGGGTCAGAGAGAGAGAGAGTCACAGATTGAAACAGGCTCCAGGCTCTGAGCCGGCAGTCAGCACAGAGCCCGACGCGGGGCCCGAACCCACGAACCACGAGATCATGACCTAAGTGAAAGTCGGACGCTTAACCGACTAAGCCACCCAGGCGCCCCTGAATATTATTTTTATTCTTATTGGAAATGTTATTACCACACCTTTCAAGGTTATGTTTCAAATAACATTTCCCTTTAGACAAACAACAGGCTTGCTTACTGGTTGCTATGAAAGTGATAGGTTTCTCAGGCTTGAGGTTCTTCAGGTACAACAAAAACGCCAATGTGTGGGTAGCATCCATCAGAGCCTACTGTGTCTTGTGGGAGAAAGACCTCTGCTGAGGCTCACACCCTTTGCTGTGCTTTGTTTGCTCTTGTTTACTTTTAACACTCATGGAATTGCGACAGGTTTGTTCTTAGTCATCTTCCTTGAGATTGGACTTCGTCCCTGGGAGTTTCACCACTGCATAATACATGGATATGTCCATTTCTAGCTTTTATTTTTTAAATTTTTTTTAACGTTTGTTTTTGAGACTCAGAGAGACAGACCACAGGAAGGAGAGGAGCAGAGAGAGAAGGAGACACGGAACAGAAGCAGGCTCCAGGCTCTGAGCTATCAGCACAGAGCCCGATGCAAGGCTTGAACCCCCAAACTGTGAGATCATGACCTGAGCTGAAATCGGACACTGACCTGGCTAGGACACCCAGGCACCCCCCTTTCTAGCTTCTACATAAAGGAATGTCAGTGAAAATGATACTCTATGAAAAGAACTTACATATTTGGCAATAACATCCTTGTTTTCAAGTTGAGCAATGTCATATAAAATGAGAGCACAGCGAGAATGTAGTTCAGGTTCTTCAGAAACCAGTAGGTTGATCAGAGCTGGAATGCCTTCTGCCTCTACTATAGCATGCACGATGCTTGCATGGGTTGAGATATTACTCAATAACCCGACTGTTTTGCACTGTAATTTTATTTTGGAACATTTTAATAGATTAATTAAGGCAGGAATGGTACCTGCAATGAAGAAATCAAGAGAAAGCATGAATTATTTATAACCATTTATGCTTAATTTGTCATGGTAAGATTTAAATAATGGTTATGGTCATTGCCATATAGACAATTAGCAAATAATTCTATAAAATGTTTGTAAAATTATCATTTGAAACTATATGAATGCACCTTTCTGTACTTTCCACAATTCAGGCAGCTCTCCTATCCACACATCTGATTTTCACACAGCACACAAGCCTATTATTTCATATTGGTATCTCTAAGCCGCCTTGGAACCATGGACTTTTGGCTTCAAATGATGGATGAATAAATTCCTTGAGCCACCTTATGGTACAGTTCAGTTTGGGATATTTAAATTTGTGTAGCAGTATTTATGCAATTATTTGAGCATTTTATTATATTTTACCCATATTTTTTTACAAGAAACTGAAAAACAAAAAGTGCTGAATCTAGTAAAAAGCATGAATTATAATTGGTTCAAGGATGGAAATCACTGGCCATGGTGAAAATAGAAAATTGGCTTCAATTGGATGTTTGTTATATCCACTGTGCAAGAAAGAGCACGCTCTGGAACATGCAAGAAATGTTGGAAAATATAACTGTATAATTAGGGCTTTATTTATTTATCTACCTGAGATGAAACCTCCCTCATGACTTATTTACCTAAGGTTCCTTTTTGGACACAGAGATTTTTGTACATGTTTTCAGGAACACTAAAGGTTAGTTTTAGGGTACCACCTATAGTACTTTTTTATTCATTTATTTATTCATTTAACAAATATTTATGGAGCTTCTGACATATGCCCAATATTTACATTAGAGTAGTGGATACCACATTAGACAGTGAAGATAGACATTTCCATCACTTCAGAAAGTTATATTGGAAAATGCTATTCTCAAAACTACTGAATGAGGTAGGAATCATTTGATTAACAAGGAAATTAGGGTTATATAGGGCAAACAATTAACCTAACTTCTAAATGCAGAGCTAGTTACAAACACAAAAACTGCTCTTTTTTAAAGTTTTTACCTGAATTTCAGTTAGTTAATATACAGGGTAATATTAGTTTCAGGTGTAAATATTGTGAGTGATTTAACACTTCCATACAATACATGGTGCTCATCACACACACACATACACACACACACACACAAAACTCTACTATTTTTTTTAATGTTTATTTATTTTTGAGACAGAGACAGAGACAGAGCACAAGTTGGGGAGGAGCAGAGAAAGAGGAAGACACAGAATCCAAAGCAGGCTCCAGGCTCTGAGCTGTCAGCACAGAGCCCAACACAGCCCGAACTCAACGAACAGCGAGATCATGACCTGAGCTGAAGTCAGATGCTTAACCGACTGAGCCACCCAGGTGGCCCACTTTAATTTAAAAAATAAATTGTGTAAATACAGAGTAGGGATAATTTCTAATTGAAAGTAAATATAAAAGGTAGTATAGTAATTTAGTATCATTTTTAAAATTGCAAAGTTTTACAGAAGTAGAATTTATATAGTTTTTTTACTGTATGCATTTTCCACATGAGAAATAAAATATAAGGTTGTCAGAGAAAGACAAATACCATATGATTTCACTTATATGTGGAATCTAAAAACAAAAAAAAAAAGTAGAATCAGACCTATAAATACAAAGGGCAAACTGATGGTTGCCGGGGGGGGGGGGGTAGAGGCATGGGTAAAATGGGTAAAGGTGGGAGTGAGTGAAACAGTCTTCCATTTATGGATTGAATAAGTCACAGGAATAAAAGCCACAGCATAGGGGATATAGTCAATGGTATTGTAATAGCATTGCACAATGACAGATGGTAGCTACACTTGTGGTAAGCACAGCATAATGTACAGAGATGCTGAATCACTATGTTGTGCACCTGAAACTAATGTAACACTGTGTGTCAACTATACTGTAATTAAAAATTTTACATATATATATTTACACATTGTATTTACATATTATTTATGTAAATATAAATAATACATATGTATATATATCTAATTGTCAGGTAAAGGACATAATCTTAGGAGAAAGAAAAACAGGAACTTAACACCAACTAAAAAGTTTTCTCTACAATTAAAAGTAGATTTTAAACTGATTGAATATAATTATAGCTCTACATAAAATAGGCTAAGCAAAAGACAGTAAATAGATTTTACGTCACCTGCATCCAATATATGTTTCCAGTATCCATCGTTTGCTAAGCAAATTACTTCCAAGGACATCACAGCCATCATCCTTCGTTTATAGCTTTCACACTGCAACATTTCTGGTAAGTATTCAACAGAAAAACACATGTTGTAATTTTATAAGAGGGAACGGAATGATTGATCTGCTTCTGTACAGGCCGAGTGAAGCCGTGTGTTGAGATCACCACTATCACCACCAAATTCATTCATTAAATTCCCTCTGTGGATGGCCTTCTGTGAGGTGGTGAACAGATTGCAAATGCCCATAATCTCTGAGGTTTATAATTTATACCGTTAGTACAAGAAATTCCGAAATGTTTAATATTTGGTCCAAATGACTTGGATTGACTGGTCATACTGTTCAAAGTCACTGGGAAAACAGTACACCTCTCTTGCTTGAAATTAGTTGTTACATAAAATTTGAGTGTAAGTTTTCAAGAATGGCAAAGTAAACTACATTATTGTCAATAAAAGTTTAACATCTATTAAATCATATAGCAAGATTTATACATTCCCTGAGTACGAAGAAGATAATTCCAAAAAATTCTAAATGAATTTATACTAATAGGCAGGAGATAATGCAAATACATATATATGCTTCTAAACAATGTCTATGGTAAAAGAAAAAAACCACAAAGAAGTATCCTTTTCTGGTCTCTCTCTTTACCCTCCACTTTTCTGAGTTCCTCTCTCCAGATATAACCACTTATATCTGGACTTATATCTTTTGGACTCTTTCCCCATACCTTCTGTGATGTACATATCTCTATATTTCTAAACACTTACATACACTGTTACCATTTGCTCTCTCAATTTTGGACATCATCGATTGACTTCAGGTTATGGTAAATGAGAAGTTAGCTCTTCCAACACTGCGCTGCCATGTCCTCTCCCTCCCCTTCCCCATATTTATAGTATTTAGTTAAATTAATATTCCATACTTATATTAAAACGCCTATACAGATATTATTCACAGGTAAGCATTGTAGTGTATTACAGTTTCGTCTCCTTTCTTGCTTTTGTCTTTCCTGGAAACCTTATTTTATTTCATCTGCCTTGTTTTCTTTGTACCTATTGGTAATTCTTCCCACATCCCTTTGGCCTGGGTACACAGTTTCCATTCTGGGACTTCGATTTGCTGTCATCTTTGGAATCACCTTTGCTTTTCTCTTGGTGCAGATTCCTAATTTCCTGTTTGTTGAGGAGAATTCCTGCCTTGGCATCTTTTGGTCTTTCTGGCTTGCCTGGGCAGAGAGCACTCCTGACTGGAGCTGTCAGGCATAGTGCCTGGTGAGGATTTATGGTGTAAGTCTGAGAGGTCCTCCGCTTTCCCGCTATCAGCTTAGGATGATTTGTCCAGTCTGCTGAGTCCTAAGACTTGGCTCTTTCCAACATTTTATTGCTATTTTATCCTTTCTTGTATTCTCTTGAAAGCTGATGTTATTAGTTAAGCTCTGTGTAATTTTAGTGGGGTTTGGATGGATAATAAAAATTAGATGGGTGCATTCAGTTGGCCTAGTAACCCTTACCCTTATAACATTTCTGGCTAGACCAAACACAAATATGGAACAAAATCTCAAGCAAAATTTTTGACAAAACATATATTAATATATGAGGGAAAATACTGCTGAATGTATCTCTTATTTATTTATTTTTATTTTAGAGAGAGCATGCACACACATGTATGCAAGCCGGGGAAGGACAGAGAAAGAGGGAGAGAGAAAATCTTTAGCAGGCTCCACACTCCACATAGAGCCTGATGTAAGGCTTGATCGCATCACCCTGAGATCATGACCTGAGCCAAAATCATGAGTCTGACACGTAACCAACTGAGCCACCCAGGCACCCCTGAATCTGCCTTTTAAATTAGGAAGGAATAAATCAGTGGGAGTTTTCTTCTCTTGAACTTTAATTTCCTTCTTTTTCCCTTATTTTTTGTTTGTTTGTTTTAATTTGCTTTTTTGACAGAGAGAAGGATAGATGGACTTTTGGAGAAAGTTGGAAAATAAAAATAAATATAATTATGTAAAATACAGTCTGAGTTATTATTCTTTGATTTTAATTCAGAATTAACTACTTTTGTACACACAAAATATAGTTCAGTATTATTTGTATTTCTGGTTTTAACTAAAAAATGTTTATGATTTTTAACTCTTTAAAATATGATGCATGTATTATTTCATTAGCTCTGTTTCAAAGTAAGTATCAATGATTAAGCTGAATAATAATCAGAACATTTATTTATAAAGAGATATGTGTTGTACACTCACCTACCAACGTTTTCCAAACCGGGAGTTCGGGAATATTTAACTCTATTATATGCTTGAGAACCTCTGTATGAAAAGTTAGCACTGATAAATGAATTATATTATTTCCTTTAATATCTGTTTTTCTCCAGTTGGCACCAAGAGAAAATAGGTACTGAATAGTGTCCAGGGCTCCTGAAGTTGCAGCAAGCAACAGTGGAGTACACTGATTCCTAAAAGTCAAAGAACATATTATGATAATTAAGCACACATATACTGCCATATTTACTTCTTACAAAGCCATCCACATTGCTTTTGGAGGAAGTCTGATTTATATCATTCCCTTCTCTTCATTAAATGTTATTTCTATATATTCCACGTTTAAAAAGATTTCCCTCCTTTGCCTTGGCTGTCCTTAGTATTTGCCCCAACTCTCCCTCCCAAATTACTTGTCACACCTTATAATTTATTTAGAAGTTGATGATGCACAAAGTTCTTAGAATATGCCACCTCACATAGTCCTTACAACTCTATGAGTGAAGGAAACAGCAAGGCAAGTATCATCAGCCCATTGTATACACAGTAAAACTGAGCTCAGGGAGCGTTCCAACCCACTTCTTTATTCTTCATGTCCAGTTCTCAGATCCCAGCTTCCCATCATGACAGAAACTAACAGATTTTCTCAAAAATCCCACTATCTGCTTCTTAAGGAAGATCATTTGGTTGGGCACATGGCTGCCCAGCCAAATATTACATTTCCTAGCTTCCTTTCAGGACCGCTCTTGGCCACATGACTAAGTTTGGCCAATGGATGTTAGTAGAAGTGACCTGGGTAAAGGAATGTGCCATTACTTTTCATTTCTGTTTCTCTTCATGGTTAAGATACAGGCATACCGATGGAAGCAGGGGTTGCCGTTTTGTACCAGGATATGGAAACCACATGTAAAGAAGCACCAGGAGGAAGATTACATGTTTACCTAGTTTAGACTAAAATATTTTGGCATGTGTTTGTCACAGCGGTTTCAACTGTATCTTAACTAACGGATCTATCACTAGCAATGTGAATTTAAGCAAACTGGGTTACTGTTTTCATCTGTCGAAGAATGAGAGTAACAATACTCAGCTCACAGTGTTAGTGTAAGGGATGAATAAGGTGCTTAGCACAGTCTTCATACATAGTTCCCCTCTCAATCTCTTTTCACTGTCACATGCCTACTTTTCATCCTTATACCAATGCCTCTCTCTTTGTGAAGCCCTCTTTCTCTTGCTGCCTGTCCTTGAACTTTCTCCTTTGCCCAGCCAGCCCCAAGACTCTCTCCTCTATCTCTTTTTTCCTAGGCCCTAGAGAAACTTTTGTCTTTTATGAGTAAACATCTCTTCACTTTTTCCCTTTTGTACTTTAACAAGACTGTTTTATCACTTTATTTATCCTATTTAATGGTAGGAATAAAGATTACTTCTACTTTAACACTATTACTCTGATTTTCCTCATATGAGAAACATACTACCCAATAAATTATATTTCTCTTTTCAGTTCCATATTACCATTCCCCCTGCCCTGCGGAGTCCTCTTCCAGGGTCTCAGCTCCTGAATTGCCTCACCAACATGCCCCTTGGAGTGTGACTTCAACATCCATGCTAATTACCATCTGTGTTCTGCTCTCTCACTTCCTTGTCATACTTATTTGGGCTCCATATTCATACACACCTGCATGGTTACACTCATCATTAGCTTCACATATATCCCAACCTTGGTAATTATCCTCTCTCTGAATTCTTTACTTTTCCCTTATGTTCACAGATAGCTTCTTACTTCCACCTCTGATATCCAATTGCTTGATCTTTTACAAGCCACTAATCATTATCCCCCTCCACTCAAAGACATCGTCACAATATGACTAGCCAGAGCTGTATCAGGTCTCTACATTCCATGGCTCTTTCCAGAATCTCTTAGAGAAATTATTAGCCAGACACCATCATTTCCTGAAAGATTTCTCTACATACATCTTTGCCCCAACCTGTAGTGAGGATTAATTTTTTCATTGAATAATAATGGCCTGAAATATCTAAATGAAACTATGCCTAAATCATGTTCAGATTCAAAATAATAACCTTATCTTTCAATCACTACCAAGAATGCACCCTTCAGGAAAATTTATGCCTCCATCCTAAACTTTGGTCCTCTGCCTAAAATCATGAAAGAGAATTGTGAAATAGAAGCTAAATTGTGAAATTGTATTTGGGATGTTTCCTTATTTCAAAGTTATTTTCTTCTTTAAAAAAAAAAAAAAACTTGTTTAAGATTTTATTTTTAAGTAACCTCTACACCCAACATGGGGCTTGAACTCACAATCCCGAGATCAAGAGTCACACACTCCACTAACTGAGCCAGCCAGGTGCTCCCAGTGTTATTTTCTTCTTTTTTAATGTGTTTCTCTTCTGAATACCATTAGATGTTTCTCCTGTTACCTGAGGCCTATCCACGGTGGTCTGGAGTTCTGTGCTGTTTCCTGGTTGGGTAGGTTCCAATTTAGAGTAACTTTCTCCTCCCTAGTCTCGGGCTTCTTCCAGAGCACTAAGTAATTAACCTGATATACTCGTCTGTGGAACAAAACCACTGAGAAAAACTTAGAAAACAGTTCCTAGGGCTTACTCCTTATTCTTTCAGATAATGTGCATAGGTCAATGGTAGTTGTATCTTTATACATTCTAGAGGTAAGTGGTAGATGAAGAAGAAGGGTAAGCCTTATGTGGCCTTTCACATTGATCATACTAACCGTTCCTTTTAGTGTCAGTGTTTGGGGCAAGCCATGAAAGCAGAGATTTATGTTTTTACAAATGCTTAATAACTTACTCAGCTGTCGCCTCCGCTTCTATCAAACTAGGATCCTTCCTGCAGAGAGCAATGATGATGCCAATATTGTCATAGAAAGCGGCAAAGTGAATCGGCATCCAGCCTCTTTTTTCAGAAAGTGTGTAATCAGCTTTGAAACAGAGTAGACAGGTGGTTGTTTCCAATGAGCAAGCCTGTGCAGCCAGGTGCAGAGGTGTTGGACCTAAATAGATGGACAATTATTTAAGTGGTCAAGATCTAACATGTCCATCTAAAGACATGTCTTTTTGATATCCATCTACAGAGGTTTTTATGCTTCTCTGGAGCTTTAGCATCACAACAGGTAAGATAAGCAAGATAAGCATTAAAAAGATTAATTTAGGCAACTCTAGATTTCTTTATTTAACTCAGGATGTCCGACCATTAAAAACCAATACTTCTTTATAAATGAAGAATAAATAACATTGAAAATATTAAATATTTGAAAAATTAAGTCAAAGGGTACATGGGTGACTCAGTCGGTTGAGCGTCGGACTTCAGCTCAAGTCATGATCTCCCTGTTTTGTGAGTTTGAGCCCTGCATCGGGCTCTGTGCTGTCAGCTCAGAGCCTGGAGCCTGCTTCTGATTCTCTGTCTCCCTCTCTCTCTCTGCCCCTCCCCTACTCGAGCTCTGTCTCTCTCCCTCTAAAATAAATATTTAAAAAAACACAAAAAGTAAGAAAAAAATAAAGAAGGCTTAAGTCAATGTGTAAAATAGTTTCATGATCAACTAAGCTATTATTTAAATTATTTTCCATTTCATTTAAATGTTCTGTAGTAGGGAGTAAGATCCTTTGCAATTCAAAGAAAAATATGTTCATAAAAGCCCTCCATGTCACTAAATCCAGTGGGTGTTTTTCAATTCTCATCTTACCTCTCAACAGTAAGCTTTTCCTCTTTAAAATAGCTTCCCCCCGCCCCTTGGCTTCTGTGATACCATAACCTCCTATTTTTCTCCTACCTCTCTGGCTACTCCTTTATAGTCTCCTTTGGGATGTTCTCATTATCCCGATACCTACATGAGCCTTAGGGCTGTGTCTCTGGCCTTTTTATCTTGGCAGTGACTTCATTTACCACCTATAAGTTGGTGACTTCCAGGTTATGTCTCTACATCTATCTCTTCAACCAAGCTCCGCATCTTTATCTCTAACATCTTACAAGGTGTCTCCACACACCACATCAAACTTAACATGTTCTGAACTGAACTTCTATCTTTCCCTCCAAACTTGGTCCTCTTTCATTGCTGCCTTAATCAGTGAAGGATATCACTATCCAGCCAGTTCTACAAACCACAAACCTGAAAGACTCCTTAGCATCTCCTTCTTGTTTCATCTTCATAACTAGTCTATCACCAAGACTAAATATCCCTAGAACTTATCTTTACTGCTACCACCTCCCCACTCGAAGCCACCTCGCTGGTATCCCCACCTTGTTCTTGCCCTTCACTAATCCATTATTTCAAAATATAAATCTGATCTTTTTATCTCCTTGCTTAAAACTCTTCAGTGGCTTTGAAAGGCCATCGATCATGAATACAGAAAAAGGGTCCACTGGTTCCAATTCACCTGAACCACCAGCTACCCCCCTCCCCATCCCAATAAACTCATGACATACACAACTTGTTCTCTTCATCTGGGTCTTGTAGCTCTTCAAATGCAGGGTAATCAACCACACACCCAGCTTGCCAAGGGAAGTATTTATCTATTCCTGTTGCCTAAGCATAATAATTAAGAGTGCCTCTTCCATTTTCAAGTCTCCCTTAATTGGATGAATGATCCAGTCATCTTGGGCTATTCCTGGTGTCTGAGAGTTTCCTTCTCCCACATGCTTTTCTGACCAGACTCCAGCTAACTCCTATTCTCAGCCTAAATGGTTAATTCCTCAGTGAAGCACTGGTTTTCTCCCAACTCAGACACTCCCAATGGTCTCCGGCCTGCCTTATTCACCTAAGCTTGATAGCACAGCCTTTGATAATCTACAATATCTGCTCTGATCTATCTACCTAAAGTTGCTGCTTAGTCTTCCAGTTTCTAGTCAGGCATGGAAGGCACATAAATCATCACTATGTCCTAAAAGCAAGTAAAAAGTTTAAACAAACTGAAAAATCAATAACTCTTCTTAGATCTGATAGAGAAGTGAGGTCTCAGGGCAAAAACACTGCCTCCAAAAATTGAAGATATGGACAGGCTGGTGCAGAGAATCAAAAAGGAACTTCCACAGGAACTAGTGAGTACTAAAGCCGCCTAGGCCCCTCTAGCCAATCTAGTAGTCTTTAAGCTTTAGCAGTCACCCTTACTTAGCCCATGTGAGTGATGACCATTTCTTTGTAATCTATAGATCATGCATTCTTAGAAAAAACAGAGGCTTCTGCACATCATGAAACAGAAACCAGACCCTCCTGTACAACTCCTGAGCACAAAGGAACCAGACTCCTTTTCACAACTGTCTTTCACAACCTCCAAGCACTGAGATAACATCTGTCACTGACACAATTGTGTCTGCATGTAATTAAGAACTGTTACGGACCATTGTAGTTGATTTACTTATTAACTATCCTACACTCCTTTAAAAAAAAGAATCCCTGGGTGTGTCAGAAACTTCAAAGTTGGTCTTGGGGGACAAGAGTCTGACTTCTCGGGGGTGCCTGTGTGGCTGGGTCGGTTGAGCACCCGACTCTGGCTCAGGTCATGATCTCACAGTTCATGGGTTCGAGCCCCGTGTTGGGCTCTGTGCTGACGGCTAGCTCAGAGCCTGGAGCCTGCTTTGGATTCTGTGTCTCCCTCTCTCTCTGACCCTCCCCTGCTCATGCTGCCTCTCTCTCTCCCTCAGAAATAAATAATTTAAAAAAAAAAGAGTCTGACTTCTCAGTGGCTGGCCTCCTGAATAAAGCTCAGATTCCTTTCCAATCAAAGCTGTCTCCAAGTATTGGCTTTTGTTTGTTTGTCTGTTTGTTTGTTTGTTAACTTATTGACAGAGAGAGAGAGAGAATACCAAGCAGGCTTCACACTGTCAGCATGAAACCCGATGTGCAGCTTGAACTCACAAGCCCTGAGATCATGACCTGGGCCAAAACCAAGAGTCGGATGTTTAACCGACTGAGCCACCCAGGTGCCCCTCAGGTATTGGCTTTTTGAGCTTCAGACAGCTGGACTCGAGTTTTGGTAACAGTAGGAAAATCTGAACTATAATTTACAAATCGCTGGCAGCTCATTGTGATAAGTCTGAGAGTTTAAAGCCCACGATTTAGTGAATTTTAACTCTTGGAGTTTGACCAGGATCTCACAGTGGATATCAGAGGAAAATCCCCTCGCTTCCAGTAGGGGGAGGGAAAAAGGAATCATTTTGAGATAGAGCAGAACATTCCATTTTTCTTAACAAGGCTTGCCCTCAGGAGAAACTGTTATACCAGAGCCCAACCTGATGGGTTTTATCAGAGCCTAACCTACTTAAGAGAAGGGAAATTCCCAACTCTAGCCACACTTCATCCATCCTGACACAGCTAAGGCCAGGAAGAGGATGGACAAAGACATGTGAAGTTCACAGTCCAGAAACCAGGCTTCCCCAAAAAGACTGAGACCTAATCATAGGACTATAGAACATGTTGGTTCATTTCAATCAAGGAAACGCTGTTACTTGCTCTCAGCAAGAGAAATACCAAGGGGTGCCTGGGTAGCTCAGTTGGCTAAATGTCTGACTCTTGGTTTCAGCTCAGGTCATGATCTCATGGTTTGTAGGTTTGAGCCCTACATGGTACTCTGTGCTGAGGGTGTAGAGCCTGCTTGGATTCTGTCTCCCTCTCCCCGTGCCCCTCCCCTGCTTGCTCTCTCTCTCTCTCTCTTTCAAAATAAATAAATAAACTTAAAAAAATCAAAATGGCTTAAAGAGTTGTTTTGTTTTATTATGTTTTAAAAGCACACACACACACACACACACACACACACACACACACACACACACAGTCTCCCCACTTACCCTCTCCTCTCTGCCCTCCAGGAAATACTTCAGCACAACCTAGGGTCAGCAGTACTATTCTTATATTCCCCCTCTTACTACTTGAAAGTATGTTTAATAGAAATGCTGGATCTTGGCACCCACCCAGGCCTCTAAAACAGAATCTGCATTTTAACAAGATCCTTGGGTGATTCTTTCATACTTGAAAGTTTATCTCTGAATAGTGGGAAGAAGTACCCTCCCTACAACATCTGCAATGTCTGATGACATTTTTATTTGTAAGAGCTGGGGTACAGGGTGCTGCATTTAGTGCTTAGAAGCCAGGAATATTACAAAACATTCGATAGTGCATAGGAAAGCCCCCAACAACAAAGAATTATGCAGCTCACAATGTCAACAGTGCTGAGGATAACAAACACTGGTCTAAGACATACTAGAATTAGGGAAGTTCTGGAGGGGTTTATGTGGTCTGGAGAAACTATTGTCTGGTTCAGAACCCTGGTCTGGGGGTTAATATCCAGAATATATGAAGAACGTATACAACTCAATGCCGAAAAACCAAATAATCCAATTTAAAAATGAGCAGAAGACATGAACAGATATTTCTCCAAAGAAGACATACAGATGGCCAAAACACATATGAAAAGATGCTCAACATTAGTAATTATCAGGGAAATGCAAATCAAAACCACAATAGACATTCCTCAAAAAATTAAAAATAGAATTACCATATGATACAGTTATCACAAGACCAGGTATTTACCCAAAGAATTAAAAAACACTAATTTCAAAAATATACGTTCATCCTTATGTTTATTGCAGCTTTATATACAATAGCCAAAACATGGAAGCAGCCCAAGTGTCCACTGATAGATGAATGGGTAAAGAATATGTTGTATGTATAAACCTTGGATTGTAACTTGTTCTGTAAGTGTTCCACAAGATAAGCATTTCTAATAAATTTTAACTTGATAAACAAGCTATATCTTGCAATATGAGTAGTATGTGACATCAAATGTCACATGATCACAACTAAGCCAATGGTTCCTCTCTCTCTCTCACTCTGGGATTGTGGGTGATCATCTCCCTTCCTTGGATGTTCAGTCTCAGGCCACAATGTTTGGCAGAAATCAGTGATTTTTCAGAACATTGGAAGGTGCCCACAACTGGCACCAGTGTAACTTTTTATCGCTTCAAAGCACCTATAAACCTTTTCTTTTCCATCCAAGTGTAAGCTTAGGAAGGCTTTGCTTCATTCTAGGTCAGCCTGCCTGCAGATATAGACCCTTTCCTCTGCTGCCTTCTTGCCACTTACATTAGATACAGTATATGGTGAGTTTATTAATACTGTACTGTAGTCAACATCTGTGTAAGCATATACAATGGCCCCCCAAGGAGAAAAAGATTAAAAAGAAAGGTGGTAAGAACAAGGAGATGATTATGGTGGAAGCTAAGAAGGAAATCATCAAAAAGTACGAGTGAGGTATGTGAGTAGCTGGAATTGTAAGATTTTGTAAGAAGTCTATGTCTGCATCTCATCTTCAGAGGAGGAGGAGGAAAAGGCAGAGGGATTCTTCACTTCAAATGAGATTAGGGAGATGTGTAAAATATTGGAAACAGTGCAAAATTATGTAGAAAAGCACCACTCAAATAAGGCTGTAACAGTACAAGCGATGAATCTGTTTAACAACAATGCAATGTCACATTTCCACAAAAATTCTCAAAGGAGGCAAAAGCAAGTGTCATTGGATAGGTTCCTTGTTAAAGATGCATGGAAAGAAAAAGATTCCATTGAGTCAATAGATAGCAGTGATTCCGTTAGTAATGGTGAAGTCTTCCTACACAATAATCTTTCTCTCTCTTGTCTCCCTCACACCACCCATGACGGTTTCCAAAGTAAGTGCAGGTTGATTTTGTATTTTCTTTATTGTTTTGTATTATATTACAGTATTGTAATCATTTTATATGAATATTTTTTGGGTTGTGGAAAAATCATCTGAGTTTCCATTATTTCTTATGAAGAAATTTGCTTTTATATACAAGTGCTTTGGATCACAAGCATGGTTCCAGAATGAATTATGCTCACAAACCAAGGTTTTACTGTATATTCAATGGAATATTATTCAGCCACAAAAAGGAATGAAATCTTATCATTTGCAACAACATGGAAGAACCTAGAGGACATAATGCAAAGTGAAATAAGTAGATCAGAGAAACACAAATACCATATGATTTCACTCATACGTGGAAGTTAAGAAACACAGGGAAAAAAAAGAGACAAAAATAGACTCTTATACATTCAGAACAAACTGGTAGTTGCCAGAGGGGAGGTGGGTGGGGGGGATGGGTGAAATAGGTGATGGAGACTAAAGAGTACACTTATCATGATGAGCACTGAGTAATGTGTAGAATTGTAGAATCACTGTATTATACACCTGAAACTAATAGAACACAGTACATTAATTATACTGGAATTTACAAAACGATGTCAAACTCTTGACATGGAAGAATGGCTAAATCATGCTAGGATTCACCACTTCCATGTCAGGTTCATTGTGTTGCTGGCTGCATATTCTGGGGATAAACAAATCAAGCTGAAGTTGGTTGTCATTGATCTATTAAACATGCCTAAAGCCTGGAAAGAAAAAAAAAAAACAACACCCTTCTTGAATTATCCTACATAGAGTATGAAGGTATGTAGTCTTTTAGATATAGATATGGAAGGTACAGCCTTTAAATTTTTTTCTGATTCTCCATATTCAGTACTTAGGTCAAGGGCACTTGAGTCACTCTGTTGGTTAAAGTGTCCAACTCTTGATTTCTGCTCAGGTCATGATCTCATGGTTTGTGAGATGGAGCCCTGTGTCTGACTCTGTGCTGAAAGTGAGGAGCCTGCTTGGGATCCTTTCTTTCTCCCTCTCTTTCTCTCCTCCTCCCCACCGCCTCCACCCTCAAATAAATTAACATTAAAAAAATACTACTTAGGTCAAATCTCTCACCTCAGTCAAGAATGCCTCATTCCTCAGTCCTCATAAATCGTTACTGGCACTAGGTGGCAGCATATCTAAATAATAATAACTGCTTTTTTTTTTTTTTCTTAAAGGCATAAAAACCATTTTGGGGACTGATTTTATAAAAATAAGTAGAGGTGGGGCGCCTGGGTGGCTTAGTCGGTTAAGCGTCCGACTTTCACTTGGGTCATGATCTCGCGGTTCGTGGGTTCGAGCCCCGCGTCGGGCTCTCTGCTGACTGCCAGCTCAGAGCCTGGAACCTGTTTCAGTCTGTGACTCCCTCTCTCTCTGACCCTCCCCTGCTCACGCTGTCTCTCTCTCTCTCCTAGAAATAAATAAAACATTAAAAAAAAAAAATAAGTAGAGGTAACTGTAAATTCCACAGGAAAAAAAAAGAAAAAAGAAAAAAAAACCCAAGACCTAAGAGGAATATGAATAAACAACTATGGGTAGAAAAAATTTATACTTCAAAATATATAGAAAATATCATTATGTGACATTTTCATGTGACAGAACATTTTAGAGATTATATAGTATAATACATGCAATATTCTTTCCAAATGCACCAAATATTTTACTAATATCTTACCATTTCTTTCTTTTTTCATGTCCATTTTTGATGACTCTGTTTTAAAGGGGAATACACACAGAAGTATGATTATTAACATATATGAGTTCCCTAAATTAGTCAAAATAAATTCATATGAATAAGAATAAAATGGCTATGTTTAGCTATTAACGACAGGATTGAGTGGAGGTTTTGGTCAAGCCATCCGGGTTTGGTGCACACAGCCGTCGTCATGGCAGAGCAGACCTGGTACACTGCATCTCAAGAGTCTGGTCAACACTGACAGTTGGGACAGTTTTGTGTTGGTTAAGCCATCATCCGTGGAGTAGAGTCATACATTTTCCATACAGCAAAATCTATCCAATTCTTAGCAAATGGGAATCCAAGCAGTCACAGGACTAATGAGAGACTTTAATTTACCAAAGTTTTTTTCACACCAAAAGAAGCTTAAAATATTACATATCTTTAAATAATAAGCTACTCATTGCATTTAAGTTTAATTGAATTTCTATAATCAAGTAATAGAAGGATCTTAATATCCAAACATTCTCATTATACTGATAAGAGTATATAATTTATTAGTAGTCAGTAGGATTAAAGCAGAACATGTTATTTTGGTGTGTGAAAATTTAACAGAGCTTTTTAAGATAGCTAGTTAAAATATAAAATTACAATTTTCTTATCGGTCGTTCCTGATATTTAATCTCTATTTTCCTTTTCAGTTATTGAGAACTTCTGCTTTCATTTTCAACATGATTATTTTTATACTGGTTAAATTTATTCCAGTGAATATGCATATATATACATATCTTCCTACCTAATAATGAGGAGAAAATGGTTTTTTAAAAGTCAAAATTAGGGGCACTTGAGTGGCTCAGTCGGTTAAGTGTCCAACTTTGGCTCAGGTCATGATCTCACTGCTCCTGGGTTCAAGCCCCGCATCAGGCTCTGTGCTGACAGATCAGAGCCTGGAGCCTGCTTCCGATTCTGTGTCTCCCTCTCTCTCTGCCTCTCCCCTACTCGCACTTTATCTCTCTCTCAAAAATGAAAAAATGTTAAAAAAAATTTTTTTAAGTCAAAATTAGGTTAGCCTTAAAGGGACCATTAATTTTAAAAAAATATTACCGAAGAATATTTTGTTATTAAATATAATTTAAGTTTATATATTGTGAAGAAATTATCTGCTGGTTGAGAACTCTGGGATAAAAATGGATGTTTTGCTGGGGTCTCTATTTATCTACCTTTTCTGTGAATTTCTATAGTACATCACTGGGTTTTAATTATCCCAGTGATTATCAAATGCTACCCTGCATTCATCCAATCATGCATTCATCCAACAGCTACTTCTGAGCACCTACAATGCCAGGCTTTCTTCTAGGCAATCACATACCGTGGCAAACAAAGTAAACCAAATCATTGCCTTTTACAGAGCTTACGTTCTAGTGAGGGAGACACAATAAAGAAATAAATAATACTATGAGAGAGCAATAAGTGATACTTAGAAAACAGCCTCTCTGAAATAAGGGAAACACACGCCTCAACTATGTTCTAGCTACAATACCAAACTTTAATCTTACTCTACAATCAACATGTCTTCTTAACTCTGAATAGGAGAAAGTAAAAGAAAAATAGTTAAGATTTTAAAAACTTTATGGTACCTTGGCTAGACATAACAAAGCGTCTTTGGTTGACATTGAAGTTAGCATTGCACAGTTGACATATAATAGAAAGTCTGTTGTGTAAAGCAGCATGATGGAAAATGGCATAGCCTGCCTCATCTGAAACATTGATGGTCAAGCTTGAGGTTTTACGGCTAAATGTATGGAAAACAGCAGCTAATCCTCTTTCAACAGCAGACTTCATACCAAATGGGATGCTCTAAAATGATTAAGAGGGCCAGAATAAGTTTCTTCAAAATACACCTAAAGTTTGGCTTAATGGAAAAAAAAAGGACAAGAAACATATATTAATATATTTATAATAAATATAATACTAATATATAATTTATAATTAATAAGTATATATTACTATAACCACATGATTGGTGCTCAGTCACAGAATTTTCACAAGATCCGTATGAAAAGTGTCTTACTGGGCAACGATTAAAGTTGTTAGAACTATTAAGAAACATTGAGAACTTTAAAAAATATTTTTGGGAAGTTTTTTTTTCTTTTTTAGGGAGAAGTTGTAGCTCCTTCAGTGCAGATGCTTAAAGTAGGACAATTTTTTCCTAAAATACTTAAGCAAATGGAGATCACTGGGTTCCTTTTCTGATTTAAGAACAATCTAATTTAGAAATCTAGAAACTAAAAATACATAGCTATGGAAATACAATTTGCCTTCTTTGCTCTAGTTCTCAAAATTGAGAGGTAAAAATATTATACTCTTCTTTGGGACATTCTGACCACTTAATAGTTTGAAATTAAATGAATAAGTTATTCAATTTTTAAATTTATGGACATCGAAACAAAAAAAAATGGTAATAAATACCAGTGCATCCTTTGAAATTTTTTTTTTCATTTTTTAAAGTTTTTATTTTTATTTTATTTTTTTTCAGGCTTCATATATACATATATTTTTAAATTTTTTTTTTTACAAATAGTTTATTGTCAAATTAGTTTCCACATAACACCCAGTGCTCATCCCCACAAGTGCCCTCCTCCATGCCCATCCCCCACCCCCACATCCATCAGTCCTCAGTTTTTGTCAGCATTCAAGAGTCTCTCATGGTTTGCCTCTCTCCCTTTCCCCCACCATTTCCCTCCTTCTTCTCCCCCTCGTTCCTCAGTTAAGTTCCTCCTAATCCTCCTATACGTGCAAACATATGATATTTGTCCTTCTCTGCCTGACTTATTTCGCTCAGCATCACACCCTCAAGGTCCATCCATGTTGCTACACATGGCCAGATTTCATTGTTTCTCATTGCCATGTAGTATTCCATGGTATAGATAAACCACATCTTTTTGATCCATTCATCCGATGATGGACACTTAGTCTCTTTCCATGTTTTAGCTATTGTGGAGAGGGCTGCTATGAACATTGGGGTACATGTGCTCCTATGCATCAGCATTTCTGTATCCCTTGGGTAAATTCCTAGCAGTGCTATTGCTGGGTCATAGGGGACATAACATAGGGGTCATTGTTAGTTTCCTGAGGAACATCCACACTGTTTTCCAGAGGGGCTGTACCAGTTTACATTCCCACCAACAGTGTAGGAGGATGCCCGTTTCTCCACATCCTTGCCAGCATCTAGAGTTCTCTGATTTGCTCATTTTAGCCACTCTGACTGGCGTGAGGTGGTATCTCAGTGTGGTTTTGATTTGTATTTCCCTGATGAGGAGGGACAGTGCATCCTTTGAAATTGGTGAGCTCACCACTCATCAGTTCCAGAAGCTGTATATCAAGGCTTGTTGAAATAGATACAGAGATTTGATTCAGAATGCCAGGTTTGTTCCTTAGGTTAGGATCCCAGGACTGAAGCCAGAATCTGCCACTTACTAGCTGTGTGGGAAAGAGCCTTAACTGGCTGCAACTCAAATTTCTCATTTGTACACCAGGAATGACAACAATAATACTAGTAGCCTGAAAAAGTTTGTTAAAAGCATGTATAAAGTGCCTGGCACATAAAATAAGCACTCAATAAATACTAAACTTTATTAAGACTGGTCACAATCCAGCTCATTAACAGATTGTTTTGTAACCCTACCAGAAATTTATAATCCAGAATTATATGGCCTCTAAGGTGATAAAATGTGGAATTTTTATTTCATATTGTAACCTCCATTTAACTTAATACTTATCCCTAAGATAAAAATTTGAGACATATACTTACCTATAACAACATATTATCTATAATAGCCTCCTATACTAAATTATGTGATGATTACTGAAATACCTTGCATTTCATAGCTTTTTTGAAACCAAATTTTTTCTTAAATTGTTCATGTAATTGAGCATCTGTTAGTGGAAGTCTTTTTGGTTTCAGATTGTTCACGATTTCATTTATGGCTCCCCACCACTTTGTCTTATATAGTTGATGATAAAAAGTTTCAAGTTCAAAAGAGATCACATAGTAGCTATAAAAAAAAAAAGAAAAAAGATCAATCTTTCTGACTTTGAAGTAATTTGCTACTTCTTTTCTATGCTAGCTAAACTATTTTTCTATAATAATTAAGTACCAAAATGTAGTTTAAATTGTACTTGATTGAAAAAGAAGGTCTTAGGGATATATTATGTTATGAACGGATCAGAGGCTAATCTCCTCTCTTCCCTGACCTTTACTTCCACTCCAGTTTTCTGAATATTACAGACTTCTGCATGGATGAAGGCATGCTTGAGGACCTGTCTGCATTTATTTGAGGTTGTCATTCTTCCTATCTACCATCCTCTTGCCCCAAGAGAAATTAGACCACAAAAATATAAACTGAAGGCCGTCTTCACCCACACCTTGCAGAAACGGTGCCAGTCCAGACGGTGGGACTTGTCACTGTCCGTGGGCCTCCACTTGTAGAGGTTCCACCTTCATCACTGGGGACTTGCCTCTAAAATCAAGGAGCAGGTATTCTGAATCTTACTCAGATTTGAAGGCTTTCAAATCACAGCAGTGATAGGCTCTAGGGCCTTAAGGGGCTGTCTGAATCAGAGCCGGATTCTTGGTTCACATTGGATGACTAAACTAAATTCCTAGAAGAAAACAGCTCACCTTCCCTTGCTGTCACACACCCTGCTAAGAGTGCACACCACAAGCAGATACCCCAAGTCCCATAAGACTGCCTCCACGGATACAAGCACAGGAGATCATACTAAGGATGCACTTCCAGTAGCCCAGCTCCACATCATAGAGCCCCAGTGCCAGTAACCTCTCTCTGTCTTTTCTTTTCTTTTCTTTTTTTTTTTTAATATTTTTATTTATTTCTAGGAGAGAGACAGCGTGAGCAGGGGAGGGTCAGAGAGAGAGGGAGTCACAGACTCTGAAACAGGCTCCAGGCTCTGAGCTGGCAGTCAGCACAGAGCCCGACGCGGGGCTCGAACCCACGAACCGCGAGATCATGACCTAAGTGAAAGTCGGACGCTTAACCGACTAAGCCACCCAGGCACCCCTCTCTCTGTCTTTTCATGTGCCTCCCCAGGGAGCTGGCTTTAGCTGTGGTAAACTGCTATGGGGTCAGAAGCTGCTGACTACATTTGGTGGCTCTGGTACTTAGTGATGTACTCTTAGATCACTCTTTTTCACTGCTCAGGCAATGAAACAGATGTATAAATTAAAAAAAAAAAAAAAAAGAATGTTGGTTGATTTCTTCTAGAAATTCAATTTGCTTATCCAATACAAGTCAAGTTTCCAGAACCAGCAGGGGGTTATCCTACCCTAGAAACTGGAGAATCAAGAGATGGTGAAGGTGGCTAGACCTTGAGAAAGTCTCTGGCCACAGAATTTTGTGGCCCTTTTCCCCCAAGATTCAATACACCATCTGCACCGGCCCATGCAGAGATGATACTGGAAGCATTGAAAGCCCAGATGGCCAGTGCCTTGAAGGAGCCCACATTCAGGTGCTGCACAGGGACATGCCACAGTTGTTATTCAAAACCTTATGTGTAGATACCAGCAGGAACTATAAGGGGGCCTCACTTTTAAAATAACTCCCTTCATATTTTCTGCCTGGGAATCTGCACCCAGCTTCTGAGAAGCTTCTAGGACCACATTTCCCAGATACATGACTACACCACTGTCACATTAAGTTGATTTCTGACCTGCCTCCTAATATCCACAACAACATCATGATGCTGGTATATTGTCCTCAAAGTTGGACATATTAGTACTGATATAAATTAATCTTTTTGCCCTAGTCATTGTCACCTTAATAATTCATGAGTTCTTGTACTTTAATGGGTGGCCAAATCCTGGTTATCTATGGCCCCTACTTTTTGATTCAACATGGTGGGAGAGCCCAACCTGAACCAAAATGAATCTAAGATTTGGATGTTTTCAGACAGGTCTGGAGGGCCAGTGAAACAGACCCTATTTTCATAGTAGAGCAGGGGATTCCTAGGAGATAAACCATTCTGGGGAAAAAGAACATCAAGACTCAAGGGTTCAGTCCACTAACAATGCCCCTAAAATCAGAGTGGAGATTTTAAGATGGCATGTTTTCAGTCGTTCACCAAATGATCCCTACCTCACAGAAAAGAACAACTGTTAGCAAAATGACTAAAAGAGCTGTTTTTGCATCAAATTATTAGACTCCAGGTAGCACTTCCTTGACACCAATAAAATTGGAAAAGAAATTCTCCTTCCTTCACTGGATTGGCGTCAACACACTTCACAGTTGATACATGTTATTTAGCAGGTATCAGGAGAAGCCAGCTCCAGAGGTGACACCAGATCCAGAACAAGAAGCAACAGTGTCAGAGACAACAATGGCTTTAGTGTTGAGTTGCCTTCATAGGGTATTGAGCCCCAGGGGCCCAGGAGTGGATCGTTAATGAGAGCTCAGACAGGAAAGAAGAAAACTGAAGGTATCTCATAGTACCTGAGAGCTGATCCATTGGCATATGAGATTCCTAAAATAACTAGTGGGAGTTGATATTATGGAACTGAAGGTTCTCTGGTAATTGTTACAGGAATGAAGAAAACACCGATTATTACTCTCCTTGTGGTTTTTACTTTTACTCCCTGCTGGCTGGGTCTGGGAAACACGCTCATGCTGACTTTGAAAGTCTGCAAATTCAAATCCATCTAACTGCAATTCACCAACACTGATGACCAATGTTATGCATTAGTCAGAAACCAGAGAACCAATTCCACTATAATATCCCATTGAAACCATCTGACTGGATCTCATACAGCTCAACGACAGTGGGCTTATGCCAACCATACTCCTTTACCCACAACAACCTCTCACCAAATACAGATTTTAGCTGAGCTGCTTCCCTGCATCCCCAGGATCATTAGTGTCCAGCCAGACACTAGAGCCTGGGAGGGTAAAGTGTTATTTAGAGGTGATTCTGAGATACTATTTACCTTGGCAAGCATTGTACACGGAGTGTACATCTTCCTCCTTGAGGGAGATGCACACCAACTGTCCCTTCTGGAGACATGAGGTCTACTACTTAATTTCCTCCAAAAATTGGAAGTCATTAGCCACATGGTCTTTGACTTCATCCTAGTATCACGTGTGCATCCAGGCAGTATTCAATGGAAAGACCCACCTTTCAGTGTTTATCCTGATTCTCCCTTTACCTTGTTTCTCTCATTTTCCTCACTGCCACGCATCTTGGAGAAATGTATCATCTTTGTCTTCTTCACATTGCATGAACTCTCCCGAACTTCACCCTTCACCTCACTGAACATAGACTAAAGCCAGAGCTAATTCTCCTACCAAGTCACTGCCAAATTTAGAGTGCTCTCTTCAGTCATAAGTTGACTTGGCCTTTTTCTCTGTTGAATTTGATGCTTTTCATCTATTTCCATACTTAAAAAATCCTCCCCATTTGGCTTCCACGCTATTGTACTTTCTTGGTTCTCCTCCTTACATCATTCCTTCTCAACTCCTTTGCTCTCTCTTCTGCTTCTCTCCACCTTATTTAACAGTCGCTATTCTCCAGAGTTCCAGACTTGGTCCTGTTCTCTAAACCACTTCTGTGCATTAAAAAAAACAAAAAACAAAAACCTCTCCTATATGCTTTTAAATCTCAAGTCTCTACATCCTAATAGTAATGCCCCTACTCTACTTTCCAAAACTTCAGTATCCAAGATATGGAAACCCAACAACACAATACATAAAAGACCCTAGCAATACTAAGAAAAGCACACTGCTTCAAAAGTTGACAGGCATAACAGGACCCAGCAAAGGAAGAGAATTTTAAATCATATCTGTTAATGGAACTAGAGAGGTATGTGCTGAGTCCACTGCTTGTCAGTAGGCTCATAGGATTTGATCCTTACCTCCATTCCCACTTAACCACAGTGTTAATTGTAACAACTAATCACTATCTCTAAAGATTATTACACCAAATGTACCAAAGTGCGTGAAGTAATAAATATATTATTTAATATTTTGTTGAGTCTATATTTCATTCATGGGGGTTATTGTTCTAGGATCTCCATGCTGAGGTATTAAGTTAGCCTTTGCATTTTGACACTTTCCTTGTTTTCTCCCAACTTTTAACAAGTTGTCACTACTATGAATAGTTACTGAAAGTTCCATACCTTTTTCCGTTAAGTTCCATAACTGGTATTGAGTAAAATTCTTTGTATCCTGAATCTTCTACAAATGTATTAGCAGCACAATCCCGTATTTTTTCTAAATTATTCTAAAATATGAGTTACATTATTAAAAACATATCTTTAAACAAGTCTAAACAATTATAGCTTTTTCTTTTGATAGAGAAAGAACATGCATGCATGAGTTGGGGAAGTGTGTGTGGGGGAGAAAGAGAGAGAGAGAGAGAGAGAGAGAGAGAGAGAGAGAATCTTAAGCAGGACCCATGCTCAGCACAGAGCCTGACATGGGACTCTATCCCACAACTCTGGGATTACAACCTGAGCCAAAATCACGGGTCAGGTGCTCAACTGACTGAGCCACCCAGATGCCCCATCAATTACGGCTTCTTTTAGGTGAAATTTTACATATGTACATGGTAAATTTTTAATAAAATATCGCACCAGACTCTAATGATAATTGCATGTATCCAATTCCTACCTCAGAAGTGAGGAAAAAATACAAAGTAAAATATAAAGAAGGTAGAAGAGCAATGACAATTCAAGTGTACAATGTTTATATTAAATTCTAGAAGAAATTATTGTTCTTAAACTCTAGAGGTTCTATGTTCTAATACTAATCTTTAAGGAAAATGGAAGAATATGTAGTGAATGTTTTTTTAAAAAAATCTTTTTAACATTTATTTATGTTAAAATAAATAACATATTTATTTTGAGAGACAGAGAGAGACAGCTTGAGCAGGAGAAGTATAGAGGGAGAGAGAAGGATATACAGAATCTGAAGCAGGCTCCAGACTCTGAGCTGTCAGCAGAGCCTGGTGTGGGGCTCGAGCTCATGAACTGTGAGATCATGACCTGAGCTGAAGTCGGACGCTTAACCAACTGAGCCATCCAGGTGCCCCTGAATATGTAGTGAATGTTGAGGGATTTCTACTGTACTCTTTGATTAACAATTTTAGGGCAAATATAGTCCATTTGAGGTCTATGTAATTTTATGAAGATAGTTGTACCTGGCTTATTTATCATTTTATCTCTGACACCTAACATACTACCTTAGGGTATTTGCACTTACTTCATATATGTTACATAATGTATGAAAAAATTAGTGAGTTAGGAAGATAATCATTTGGAGAGCTGCCTAGTGCCTGTGCCAGCGTAAACTCTTTCCGGATAGAGAATAAAAGAGCTGGGAAATGAGAAACCATTTCAGGAACAATAATAATTTAAACCTTAAAGTCTTCCAAAGCATTCTCAATTGAAGGTGTGCTGATATCAAATTCAATTCCTCCATGAACATGAAAATATTGATCTTCTTTGTAGTGAAAATGCTGGCATTTAAAATCTCGCCCATAAATAAATGGAGGCAATTCTCGCTCTGTCTTGACCTTGTCATCTCCAATATAAAAACAGATTTTTATTTAAAAAGTGAAAACAGCATATAAAAAATCATATTTTGGAGATCTAGATTCTCATTTACAAAAATCAACTTAAAAAAATCACATTAACTGGAAATCTTGGCAATTGTCTATAAAATCATGGTCTTAGTATATATTTTAAACATGAAAATATATCATACATTTTGGGCATTTTCTGTACTTTCATTGCACAGACATTTCAAGAGACTAGTCAAAACACTATTTTACTTATTAATTTCTATTTGTGAGTTTAAGACTAGTTTCTTACCTCCAATTGTCAGAAAAGATTTGAAACTGTGAGTCAGAGAATTTTTGGCTAAATAAATAAAAACTTAACCCCTGAGCTAGTTTAGGCAAAAAGAGACATTAACGAGAAATAGGTGGGTATTTCTCACTGACAAAAAACAAAAAACAAAAAACAAAAAACTAGTCGAGCTCACTTTTTTGAAAAGTAATAAAACCCACATATAACATTTATTAAAAAAAATAATTTTCTAAAACTCCAGTAAGGACTAGATTTCTTCAATATTTTGACTTGTTAGCAGAACATGGTTTCATTAATGAAAAGTATATAATGCATTTTGAGAAAGGTAAAAGGTCCAGAAAAGTACAAGGAATAATGTAACACCATAATATCACCACCTAGACTTAACTATTAACATTTAGTCATATTTGTTTCCAATAATCTAAGTAAGAAACTGATCCCAAGAAAAGATAACCACAAAGCCTCACAGAGCCTAACTCCATTTAAAGGAAAACCATAAAATCCAGCATTTATCAGTTTACAACTCACAATGTCCAGCATTCAATCAAATTTATTATACATGATTTAAAAATACATAATACCTAAGATAAAATATGTACAAAAACTATGTGTTGGGAACTAGGAATCCTTGCTGAGAGATATTAAAGAAGACCTAAGCAAGTAGAGAGGTACACTGTGTTTATGTATTGGGAGACTTTGAAACAACTCTGAAAAAGAATAGCAAATAGTAAGCCTACGTGTTTGGGCACCAATGAAAATACATAAATTGTGTGCTAACCTGGGTGGCAGGAATAGTATGCCCTGCAGTCCTGTCTAATTCCATGTAAGTATGGTCCTATTTCAGCTCTCTCTTTTAACGTTGGTTTATTTGTGTGTAACAGTGCTGATACATTAGTAGAGCTTTAAAATATGTTTTCAGCTATTTTTCAGAAAGTAAGACCATTCATGATCCTGTACTGCTCCAGAGTAACTGCAGATCAATTTCTAAACTTTCATGAGAAACACAGTAAGGGTTTTGAATAGAAGTACATTGAATTGCTAGAGTAATATTGTTCCACCATGAACATGGTCTATTTCCCTATTTTTCTCAGAACATGTTTTAAGTCTTCCAATAGCCCTTATAATTAGTATAAATATATACCAAGTACTATGTACATATGCCAAATATTTTTAACTACTTTGGAGACATCAAATTTTGTATTTTCTTTCTAATGGGCTACAAATAGGTTATATGACTAGACACACATACTACAGGCAAAATTGAATTTAAATATATATTTAACATATGTATACATGTAATTATTTTATATTTGATTTGTGGTGATATTTTTACCTGAAAAAGGCGGAAGCAGACTATTTAAATATGGAACTTTCATCTTCTTTTTTAAACTCAGTAGAAATGGAATCAGAAAACATATTAACTTTAGGTATCCCATCCCTTTTCTGATGTCTGTTTTCTTCTCAAAGTGTTTTTGAATAACCTTTTTCTGAAGATACAATCTTTGCTGTAGTCTCTGATAGGTACAAATATCAAGATAATCCTGATTACATTTTATAGCATTAGTAAGCCAATAGGCTGTTTCAAATATAAAAACATCTTCACACTGTTGAACTTGTATGGTACTAAATGTCAATTTTAGCATAATATTTTCAGCATATTTCATAAAAACAGCTTTTTCTTCAGGGCTATTGGGATTATATGTTGGATCTTCATTCATGTCTTCATCATAGATTCCATTAAAGTCTGGATCCTTTGTAATATCAACCAAACCTTAACAGCAAAAGAGAAAAATTTTGGATAGTGAGAACATCATACTTGGCTTCTGGATAAATAGAGGGTATTGAACACTGGGTTTCATCTTGAAATCCTACTAAAGTGACAAAGTGATACTGAGATGCCAAAAAAAAAGAGATGAAAAGCAGGTGGATGAGAGGTAATTAAGCCGAGTAAAGAAAGATGGAAGCTTGTAGAATTAGAATAGATTTCTGTTCTCTTTGGAGGAAAGAAACACTATTCCACGGAAACAACCTAAGTCCCATATTTAATCAGGGTTAACTATGGAAGAAGAAGAAAATGTGATTTCCCTTTAAACAGGGAATCAGCTTCTCACTTGGCCAAAAGTATAATTTGCTTTTCCAAGCCTTATATTAGTACACATTTCTTGTTTTTGCTGATAACAGAAGCTAAACATATACAATAAGAACTTTCCTGCTAACTAATTATGATGAAATAAATAAGAATTACAACTTGATTTTTCTCTATTGTAAATCACAAATTTCCTGTTACATTTTCTTCTCACTTAATGATGAAATTAAGGACTTCCTTGCTGTCAAACTGTCTTTTTAAAGACAATTACACTTGGGGCACCTGGGTGGCTCAGTTGGTTGGGCGTCTAATTTCAGCTCAGGTCATGACCTCACAACTTGTGGGGCTCTGTGCTGACAGAGCAGCCTGGAGCCTGCTTCAGATTCTGCATCTCCCCCTCTCTCTGGCCTTCCCCTGCTCTCGCTGTCTCTCTCTGTTCTCAGAAATAAATAAAACATTAAAAAAAATAAAGACAATTACACTTATAATGTTACCCTTAATCTAAGCTTGAGAAAACTGCTAGAGTCACAAAATATGACTTCGCAGAAAATGTAGAGTCTGTAACATATATGCCTTAAAAGTGTAAATGAGACATCAGTTTTGTCTCCCTTCCTTCCTCAAATCTATTAAAAAAAACAACCCCTCAAAAAGCCAGAATACACTTAGATTTTTATTTTTTTAATATTTATTTATTTTTGAGAGAGAGAGAGAGCGCGCGCCCATGAAGGGAGGGACAGAGAGAGAGAGAGACAGAGGGAGACAGAAGATTCAAAAGTGCAGAGCCCAATGTAGAGATGGAATTCATGAACTGTGAGATCATGACCGAAGCCAAAATCAAGAGTCAGACACTTAACCAACTGAGCCACCCAGGCGCCTCTCACTTGAACTTTTAAATGGCCACTATGATTCACCTCCATTTTGCAAAACTTAAGAAATTATAAAGAAATTAAAGTATTTCTGACAGCTTAAAAAAAAAATCTAAACATAAGCCAGAGTATTGTTGACAGCCTAAAACTTTGTAGCCTGAGGTGGCTGGGGGCCAATAGGCAGCAGGTCAATTTTCATCCCAGAAAGTCAGGAAGGCTTAGAAATTGGAAGCCTGTGGAATCTCTGACTGACGGGGGTGGGGGGTGGGGTCGGAGGGGGGGGACCTGGAGCGGAAAGAAGGAAGGAAGGAAGGCCGTTTTGCCCTCCTTCCAGGCGGGAGCCTGCAGGAAACAGATCGATCAAGGAGAAACGACCTACGGGTACAGCATCTGGGGAGAGTTTCCCCGGAGAAGGGGCAGGGTTTCTTCCCAGTCACACTACAGTGCAGGGTAGCAGTCAGCAAGCCCCATTCCTGCCCCGCTTGTAAATGAGAACAGACTGCAAGTGTTTCCACACAGGTGAGGAAACCCTCTCTGGTGAAAAACCGGGACAGGGAGGGAAGGAGGAGGGGAGGAGGAGAGGCGGGAGGGCAGGCAGGGCTGGTGGGAAGAGGGCCGAGGGTGGAAGAAGGGATTTTGAAGAACCGGAAAAGAAATTGCCTAGAAAAGGAATCAGTCAGTTCACCGGGAAATGGGAGGATGAAGGTGTGGAGCGAAACATTGCTAAGGGGAGAACATGGAGTTGCTGCACTACCTGATATTTCGCTGTACTGGGAACTGCTGCACCACCTGAAAATTCGCTGTACTGAGAGGAGTTGGATATTGCTGTTTAACGGTTTGGGGCTGAATTGGAAAACTAAACGGATTTGTTTTAATGACAGAGTTCATGTCAGAAAAAAAAATAAGTTATTAAAAAAAGGAAATGTGATCATAGCATGTCATACAAATCAGATATGTACAAAGTCATACTAAAGGAAAAAATGAAAAAGGATTTAATAGAAAAATTGGATATAACTAAATTTGGAGGACAAGGGGGGAAACACAAGATTCCATTGTTTTAACCTCTATACTATGCTAATTTATTTTAATCTTATCTCCTGCCCTGGTTTGTGCTCCTGAACTCTATTGTTTTTCAATGTGTAATACTTAACTTTGTCCGAATGTCACAGAAGCACTCCCAAACTAAATTCATCCTTCCTCTCCCCCCACATCTGCTTTTCTTATTCTCTGTCAAGGTTAATGATTCTGTTTATCTATCAGTTCCTCACACTAGAAGCCCAAGAGTCTCCTTCAATACCTTTTCTTTCACAGTCTATTGTTATTAGCCACTTAAATTACACAGGTATCGAAAGTTTACTATTTGCCAAACCCGCTATAAGGTGCTGAGAATTTAAAGACAAAATAGACATTTTTCTGTGCTTTTGAGGAGGAGCTTAAGGGCTAATAAGGGAGACAGAGATGAAATCAGTAATTTGAGTACAAAATGATACAGTGTGATAGAATACAGGAGGCTGTGTCTGAATCAAGTCTTGAGAAAGGGGGAGCAATAATAACCTGGGAAGACCGGGGAAGGGTGAGGTGAAGTGGCAGGGAGGAGGGCGTTACAGATAAAAGGACCGGGAATGAGCAGAGGCATAAAAAACAAACAAACAACAAAACAAACAAACAAACAAAAAACCCAATGCACTTTACCAGTTTTTGTATTAAACAAGGTCATTTTTTTTTGTATTTAACTAAAAGTCACCCCCACCATATTTTTCTATCACAAGAATGTTTTCCTTCTTTCCTGTCATCCTACAAACCTTCTGTAATAAATCGAAGAATTCAAGAATTACTCAGATCAAGAAATTAAAACCCCCTACAGAAAACTAGACAATATGACCAGATTTTGGTATGCTCTTGTGCTACTGCTGTTGCTATTGTTTTCTGAGAGCGGCATTCTGGTATTTTCATAAATTGCAAAGCTATCACAGAGATAAATAAAGCTTAACTTGGCCAGACTGACTCCCAACAGTCTGCCCTCTCAAAAAGGCTTGGCCTCCTGCAAAGTTCCTTGGAAATCCATTTTAGCACAGTGTTTAAGGCAGTGACGTGGTCAGTTGCAAGACATGAACCCAGTCTCTCTCTCATGCCAAATATGAATGATGATATCGAAATTCTTGCCCTTGTATAGCTACAACTACAAGCCTTGGACCCCAGTTCCCTGATCAGATCAGTGGAGGAGGGGCATTCCCTCTCTGCCTCAAACACCGAGAAGGATAGAGCTGGCGCCAAGTTTCCATGAGTCACACTGTTTACCAGACACTTCTACCTCACTTCTTCCCAGACTGTATTTTTCACTCCAGCTGTTGTTACACTGACCAGCTTCACAAAGATATAACTGTGCTTTGCTTCAGATGCACCACATGGCTCTTAGTTTTACCCTGGGACTTCTCTACCACTGCTGTGTTGGACTTCTGATGGAATCCATCCAGTCATTCTGATACAAGAACAAATCTGGAGTGTAAGGGAGCAGCCTTTGACCAACAGAGAGGAGTCAGGGGACACACGCTGCCCTCTTTCATCCCTTGGGCTGAGAATACTGAAGTGTATTCTATGGGACTCCTCAGAAAGTCCTTACAAAATGGACCTCAGTGAAAGCTCAGCAGCACATCCTTGGATTGATGTTTCCTCCTTTTCTGTTCACTTTTCCTGTCCCTCACTTCTGTTTCATAGAGTTATTTCCTATAATCTGCCCTGATTTAGCGCCCATTTCAGGCTCTAATTTGGGGGTAACCTAGGCTAATACACATTGCTTTTGTACCTGGTCTCTGACTTGCTGTTTCCCTGATCATGAAACATAAAAAGCCCCACATTCTAAGAGTCTGGGTTCCTGTCCCCACGTCTGACACTTGGCCGTGCAAGATTTCACAGTTATGTTCCAAATGTGGTGCATGATGGGGAGCCTGTACCTGTTCCTGTTCTATGAGTTTTGCCCCGTAAAGGTCTGGTGTGTATTCTGCTTGGCCACATACCATTGTTTGCACTACACCGTTGTTGGAGTGCCTGAAGCATGTTGTTGCTGCTGGTACTTCAGTGGACTCCCAAGTGTAGTAAGGGAGAAGAAAATCTCTGCCCTGGTATGATGCTCGTCTTTGATGGCCTGGCAGCCAATATTACCAAGTGCTTTAGTGTAACATGGCACTTTCCCCAAGGGCACTTGGTAGTAGTGTGACTGAATTTGGAAAGGTTTCTAGCTTCACTCATATAGAGTGAAAAAGGGATTCGAGTCACGATAGTCTACACATGGGTTCCCAGCCAGGAAAGGAGGATTAAGTAGAAATGTCCAGGGCTGGTATTTAGCTGACATGTATCAATATGGCCACATTGGTTGTAAAAATAGTGATCCTTTTCCTATTGTTTGGTGAACTGAATTGTTATAGCTCCAAGCTTTTTGAATACCTCCCTTCCCTGGGATATCCTGGAAAGCTTCATGGTCCAGCAAAGGCTACATATGACAAACAAGAGGTCTCTGAGAGCCTACTCCAATATTATGGCTAATGTCTGTTCTTATTGCTCAGTGATCATGCTGTACTGGTGGTTAAGTGTTTTTAATATCACTCCTGAAAATGCAGGCAGTAGAAGACAGCATTAGTCTCTGAGTGCTCCCCCACTCTCCCTACAACTTGATTAGAATGTTCCTACACGTCTCTGATCCTCTTAAGCAGGAGCATCACTCTGAGAGGATCCTTACTGGGGTAGCCTCAGATATGATGGTTGGGCTGAAGAGACCAGATGACAGGCCATGAAGTCACTTATATAATTAATTTTGTCATCCAC